TGAAGAAACTGGATCAGATGTCAATATGAAGATGCCTCCATTCATACCGTCTGACATGATCCAGATGCCCGTCGTGCTCAAGAGTTCTTCTAGAGAAACAACTAGACCGCTCTGTGCCTCAATGCCATGACGGAGCTCAACCACAGCCCCGCGCGCGTAGGAAGAAGCCGAGCAAACAAAGAAGCGATCACTGGAAGCCCCCGAATTCGAGGCGATGTCATCCCTGACAATGGCAGAGTCCGTGACTGGCGTCCAGTTCATGAAACGTTGAACACACCTTGGATGATCCCTGGCCTTCTGAACAAAAAGCCCGCCATCTCCTGTCGTGCCGGCTGCAAGAAGTAGATCACCGCCCTCGTATCCGATATCCAAGATATCAAACGCAGCGTCAACATCGCAGCATAGCTGTCCTAGATGAGTTTGGTTCTCCACTTCGCCCTCATTGCCGACACTCAAATAAAAGACCCTGCCGTCCTCCCGGCACAAATAAATGTCGTCGTGCTTTTGGTTGTATAACCAATTGCGTAAAGGCCTTGCCCATCTGGTCCAAAGTGGTTGTCGCTGAGATTCACGATCAGGAACTGGAAGCGGGTATCTAGTTGGTTGCCTTTGAGGATCGAGTTTATTCTGGTATACAGCCATCGAGGTTGTAGTGACGAGAATGAATGATGACGTCTTAGTCAAGGGGATGAGCATGGTAGGTAGCCTGTCCTCAAGCGGCAGCACTTTTCTGGTCACTTTTGGGGCTGCTTGTCGTAGCGACTCATAAGCGTTCCATTCATAACAGACGGCATACGTGACTTGATCCTGGGCGATGAGTAGAAGTAAGATGATCTTATCTCCATCCTCATTGGTAGGATATAAAAACTCCATTGAGATGATATCGCCGTCGACACGAAAGAAGCGTTCCTAGATTCATAGACAAGGGGGTCAGTGGCCGCAGATTGTTTTTGATAGACGTCATGCACATACCTCTGCTATTGGGTCCAGTTTGTTTTGTGCCATCTGTGACTGAAGGACAGCAGGCTCCTTGAGTACGAAGACTCCAAAGTAGTCCGAAGAAGCACTAACTGCAACAACTCGAGATCTGCCAAAAGTCTCAGTCCAATGACCATCTTTCTGACCGGGAACACTCACCTCGGCTCTACAGCGATGTTTCGACCAAACCTCTCAAAGGCACTGACATCATTTGGCAATGGACGATGGTGGTATATGAACTGTTCGCCAGCATTCCAGTAGTACAGGAACGTGAGCTCTCTCGATGCGAGACTAAGCACCAGAATTTGAGGCGGCAAGTCCTTATGCATGGCTGCATCTGCTGACATGATGGATCTACTATCGCTCAACTTCATCTGTGCTTCCCAGGGTAATTCTGTGCTCACATTGATGACCTTGGCTGCCATGATGTATGAGTCAAAGTCATTCTTGTTTGTAACTTCCTCAAGATGTACGCCGGACACTGCCTCCTTGATCTGAAGGCATCTCTCGCCGACGAACACGACATCGTTTTGATGCTTCCCTCTTAGACGCGCAGGTAGAATCCACTGTATAATCGGGCTTGGCACGAGAGTGTGCGAGAGTAGTCCCGCTCTAGCTTGGGGCTTTGCATAGATGTCATCTGCTTCGATATCCATCGGCTCTCCACTCTGGGCATTTTCAGGGTGGTTTCCAGCTAGACCTGGATCTATCCTCGGTTGCGCCATAGGGTCTATAAGAAAGGCCTGCAGCGACGGATGATAATGTAACAAGCGCCGCAAAAGTACTGTCTGACAAGACTGGCTAGGCGGTTAGAAATGTCGTAGCGTGGCCTGAATTGAGCAAGCTTTGCGAATAACCTCAAGCGCCTGTCGGGTTCAAATTCCTCTTTTACGAAAATGAAGGAGACTTTGAGAAATCCCAGAATTGATGACACTACGGCTCGTGCGGTCCTGCCTTAACCATGCTCAAGACAGTCCAGGAACCACATGCCACTCCGAAAACGAGTAGAGCAAAAGCCGAAGACTGAGTGGACAGCGAGCGCGAGGTCTCTCCGCAAATGTAGCTGGAAGAAACGATCTGCAGAAACATGAATAGCCGTCATGCAAAGGAGAAATAATATGTCGTAGCTAATCCGTGAGCTAATTCTGAAACAGATCAACGGGGGGGAAGAAAACCTACGATGCAAGGGTCTGCAGACACCACTTGCTGCGCGCTGATAATAGGAACGATATCAGTGTCTCATAATATTGTTGAGTGTCGCCCAAGCCGTGATCCCGTGATCCGGTCAATCTCAATCGTGTCTGAGATTTAAGGAATTGGGCGTCAGCCTTGCGGTTTTGGCTGCAGTTGCTAACCGCGAAATCCCAGCGCGGGCAGATTGTGGGAGAATCGACTAGCGGGTAAGTATGTTTAGTTCTGGTAGGTATGATGCCATAGGCCGCTCGCTACCTCCAAACTTGCTTGCAGCTGTGCTTTCAGGCACGCATGGTGAAGGAGTGTGCTCAGTCTCCTGGCCAGGTCAAGGCTATAACTGACAGATACGGGAGAAATAAAAAATCAATCGATTGATGGTAGGCTCTATTTATTGTCCAGCCTTATCAATGACAAGGGCGAAGATAGTGACGTGATGTGCACAACTTGCCGGAGGGGTTGACGGTTGACGCGGATCATTACTAGGTACTCCGTAACTTAGACTAACTCCGTAGCTGTTCGATGCCTGCGGCTTCCCTTACTTCTTCTTTGGGCGGTCGGAGGGTGCAGCCATTTGGCCTAAGGCTGCAAGGCTTCAAAACATCTCCTTTGGGATTCGATTGCAGCCACTTCCGCGGATGTCAAAGACCACTCGTCTCTTTTTCCTTGGAACATTTCTTCCAACTATCTTCTTTAATTCAGTACCCGATGGCATCAGGCTGGCACTGTAGGGTTCTTCTTGCCCAAACATAGACTGACAATAAGCCGACTTATCGAAATGACTTGAGGTTCGATCGTCATCTGCATGCAAAGTATCTCCATTTGCCGATCTTGCCTAGTGCGCATTGAGGTGGATTTATAGATAATCGCCTTAGTACATTATCGGACGGACCCCGTCTGTCTTTCCTGAGCTCGTCTCCATACCACATCTTTGTCACCTTTAGCCTCAAACGGCACGGTGAGTTACTGGACGAGGCTGGCCACAACATCCCATTGCCTGCCCCGGCAATAATGGATCATCACCAGCCCCAGGTCAGGGAGCCGGCGGGCGACCCGGACACGGTCGACGAGAAGGAGCAGAACAGCATAGTAACTGAGGAATCTCTGCATACGACCGACTCGTCGGCTGAGGAGGCACTTGAAGCTCGTGCAACTGAAAAGGCGAACGCCATCCGCCAAGCATGCGACCTGCGTGACTTCGACGCACTGGTTTCCTATGCAACTTCTGAGGGTGGCTTCTTAAATGACGATATTAGACGAGTGGCTTGTAAGTCCCTGTAACCTTGAAACCCTGCCTTACGTGACTGACATCCGACCTGTTCAGGGCCCATTCTCCTTCAGTGCGATCGAAGAGAGTCTGTTCACGACTTCACGGGGTGGGAAGACCTGCCACCGCATGTGGACGAGGAGCAGATCCAGCTAGATGTAAATCGGTCTTTCGTCTACTACCCTGATGGTATGCTTTTCCCCGACCAACCCAGCACGTCGCCAACTAATCACTGGAATAGGTTCTGAAGAGGAGATCTCGACGAAGAAAGATGAGCTTTCTCAACTCATCAAGCAAGTTCTGCGGAAATATCCAATGCTGTGCTACTTCCAAGGGTACCATGATATCGTGCAAGTGCTCTACCTTGTGCTTGGCGGCCATGAGGCTGCTCCTGCCGTTGCGCAGATCTCGCTCTTGCGGATCCGAGACTACATGCTCCCGACTCTTTCTCCTGCCTTGAAACACTTACAACTACTGCCGGCGATTATTGAGCTGGCCGACTCGTCATTACGCCATCACCTTGCCGGGATCCAACCCTTCTTCGCCCTCGCGGCGACTTTGACCTTGTATGCACATGATATCCAGGAGTATAGCGACATTGCTCGCCTGTTCGATTTCCTGCTAGCTGAGGAACCCGTGTTGTCGGCATACCTCTTCGCAGCGATCATTCTCTCTCGCAAGCAAGAACTGCTTGCAATTCCCGAAGAAGAGCCAGAGATGCTCCACTTCACCCTATCAAAACTACCCAATCCTCTAGACCTTGACGGGTTGATCCTATTTGCCGTTCGGCTTTTCAAAGACTATCCGCCGGAATCGTTGCCATTCGGGGCTTGGAAGCAGGTCCCATCATGCAGCGCCCTCAAGACATCCAGGGGACTCGTGCCTACTCATAGCAAAGATGAAGCTCTTAAATACTTCAGACAGCAAACACGGCAGCTACGCTACGAGGAGGGCAGAGAAAAGACAGTTGCGTTCCTATGGAACCACAGGAGAACAATCGGTTCGGTGGCCGTCACCGTCTTGATTGGGGCGATGTCGATCTATATAAGACGCAAGGGACTCGACAGTACCATCTGGTCCTATCTGGGTCGACTCAAGTCGACATTGCAGCACCGCGGCTATTTGTGAATAGCTCAATAGTGTCGTCTCTTCTCATCCGAATATCTCTAGAGGAGGATGGACTGTCTATGATGGTTGTATCTAGAGCTGTATACTATGCAGTACTAATTGCCCCCTTGGCATAGAACTTCTGGACATGAGTGTATAAATAACAAAAGTGATTGTATGGCCCAACATACCCCCAGGCCCAAGATCCAGCATGATTGCAAAGTAAATTTCGCCATCTTGTCCATGCGGACGTTGATACGAGTACGTAGCTGAGTGGTTTCAGCAGCGGGCGGCATGGAGAGCCAAGCTCCACATAAATGGTGGCTGGTGCGTGGCTTGCCCGAGCCGCTTGTTCGCTGATGTGTACTCTTCAGTTGCAACAAACTCCCGCAACCTGCACCACCACAACGAACCCACCTTTCCATTGACAATTCCAAATAAACCAGCCCCCCTCCAGATGGCAAACCAGGGCTACGATGTGGTAGTCGACGTGGACGCCGAGGTAAGCAATGCACCACTGCATCACTCAGGGAACATTGCCAATCATCCCAGGGAATCCCAGCTAATGTCATTCTAACCAAATGCACAGGGCGACCTCGGCCACACCGACCTTCAGGAGGACCTTGAATTCCACCGTTCGAGTAAGGCCAAACTTCATAGCAGATCTCCACAACCTCCAAAACCCTCTACTCACCACCTACCCTGAACCCAGACTTCGAGAACGACCCGCGCACCGCCAAAATCCAACAAGACTCGACCCCATTCCTGGGCGGCAGCGGAGGCGACCACAGCACCTCGCGCAGCGGCGGCGGCCGGCGGGACCGGTCGCCGGGGGGCACGCCGACGAAGCACACGTGGTGGACGATCCACTACTACGCGCAGTTCTTCGACGTGGACACGAACGAGGTGCTGCGGCGGTGCGTGGCGACGGTGTACCCGCGCAACAACTTCCTGGACGTGCTGGAGGGGAACCCGGACCTGTACGGGCCGTTCTGGATCGCGACGACGGTGGTGGTGATTCTGTTTTTGACGGGCACGATCTCGCAGTGGCTGAGCAACAACGACGACGCGCACTTCGCCTACGACTTCACGCTGCTGTCCGGCGCCGCGGGCCTGGTGTACGGGTACACGGGCGTCCTCCCCGTCGCGCTCTGGGGCGCGCTCCGCTGGTTCGGCAGCTCCAGCGCCGACCTGGTCGAGTCGTGGGCGCTCTACGGCTACTCCAACCTCGTCTGGATCGCCGTCGCCCTCGTCAGCTGGAGCCCCCTCACCGCCCTGAACTGGGCCCTCGTCGGCGTCGGCTTCGGCTGGTCCGTCTTCTTCCTCCTGCGCAACCTCTACCCCGTGCTCAGCGCCACCGACGCCAAGGCCAGCAGGATCCTGCTGATCCTGGTCGTCCTGCTGCATGCCGGCTTCGCCTTGGCCATCAAGATCTTGTTCTTTGCGTGAGTTCCCTCCTTTTGCCAGATCTCCTTTTCTACGAATCCTTGGGTCTCCCATGATACATTGGAACGGCTTGCTAATGGCGGGTCATTAATGCAAATGCAGTCACGGAAGCCCAGTCTCGAAGAAGAACAAGAGCGACGGCGATGATAACAATGATGGCAAGGCGCAAATGCTCATGTTCTAGGCTTGGGGGGAGAGCTGCGGAGGAAAGACGGAAAAAGAAAATACGGGCGTCATTAGTGACCCAGGAAGTCATATCTTATCGAGAAAGCAGGAAAAGGGCCCGCATCTAGACCCCAGTTCAGACGCTTGTGCTCAGGTAGCACCCATGTCAAAGGTCCATGAATTTTCCCTTTTCTGAAAAACGCTGTTTCAAATCCCTTGTTGCCCGTGACAAATGTTAAATGTGTTTTCCTCTTTTGTTTGTTGCAACTTTCCCAACGCGGCGCGACAGCACTGCGTGTGTGATGTGTACCTTTCCTACTTTTCCCTCCACAGTAGATCAAAATGAACCAAAGGGAATTTGAATTTTACAATTGTATTTCGATTGCAACTTCTTCCGAGCAGCCAACTATGGACATTTGACTTCGGCCATAATGTTTTATCATTCCAACGCCGTGTAATACCCTACGTTGCAATCCGGTCGTAACCACCCCAGCAGCGCTTTCCTCCCCCCAGCAACGCAGAAAAACCGTAACAGGAGAATCGTTTACTTGAGCTTCTTCTTGGGGCGGAGCTGGTTGGTGTGACCGCACTTCTTCTTGCGGCAGTTGGTGGCACGGGGAGGGAGACGAGCCTAGTTGGGAGATGTTAGAAAGATTGGTCGGTTGCGGGGAGAAGGTGAGAGGTAGCCGCTGGAAGGTTGATCCTGAAGGGAATAATAGGTAGGAACGTACGTAGCACTTGCGGCAGATGGACTTCTCGCAGTTGTACTTGGAGGCGAGGGCCTTGAGGGAGGGCTCGATGATACCACCACGGAGACGGAGGACGAGGTGAAGGGTGGACTCCTATTTGACGAGTATTGCGTTAGCCAACAGAATTCCCTCCCTGATCGCACATGCTGGTCGGATCGTTCGTGGTTCGCAGCGCTGGGTGAGGTTTCCGAGAGTGATAATCCTCCAAAGATGATGGTATGTGAAGGCGCAAGCGGTCCCGAAGGACTTGACACAAGCAAACGCCCCATCATCAAACAGACAGGATATTCATCACCAAAGATCGACGCAAGGCGACCGTAGCTTTCCATATCGAATAACCCAGAGCATCTTTCCAATCCATAAACCCCGAGACCCCAGGCGCAGCGAACATAGAATGTCTGAACCGATGTGCGAAAAAGAATCATATTTCGGAAGAGTCGCTCATACCTTCTGGATGTTGTAGTCGCTCAGGGTGCGGCCATCCTCGAGCTGCTTACCAGCGAAGATGAGACGCTGCTGATCCGGGGGGATACCCTCCTTATCCTGGATCTTGGTCTTGACGTTGTCGATGGTGTCGCTCGACTCGACGTCGAGGGTAATGGTCTTACCCGTGAGGGTCTTGACGAAACTATGGAATTCGAAAAAGAACCACTGGTCAGCGACTTGTTCTCTTCCCCTCCTGCAATTTCCTCCACCATGTCATCTTCTAAAGGTGTTTCCGGTTTCTTCTCCTTTTTTTTCGAGATCGGATGGCGTTGTATGGCATTGGGAAGTATTCGTGACGGGTTCAAGACTTTTGCACTGGGGAAGACCTACATCTGCACTGTACGAGCGCGGAAAAAACGGCATGTTAGTTTTGCGATTTCCCAGACTTGAATATATCCCTCTTCATCATGATAGTGCTATACGTACTGGCTGCGGTTTTCGTTGTTGCTGGCTGACGATCTCGCTGAATGGGTCGGTCGGAAGAGGCGATGTCAATTTCACCATTTCTCGCTTAGCAAGAGGTGGACGGGCCCCGCACGTGATCAGGGTTTAGGGCAGTCCGTTCCGCTCGGGGCGCCCCTCCGCATGTCTCCATAGTCCATATCTAGTCCGTCCATACAATACGGTACCAATCCATCATCCATACATCATCGAACGGAGCTCCCTGGTTTCTTTATTTGGCACACGCGTAGTTGTAGGCTTTCAGTTTATCAAGGTTGCGGGTATGCAGTTTAGACCATTGCATCCTGGTTGGTCGATATTCCTCAATACTGCAGCCGTCATGCCTACTACTCCTCAGTCCTTTTGACCTCGTGATTGAGACCGTCTTCTCTCCATTGATATGAGCCTTGGCTCTCTGGGAACTTCATGGACAGGCTGAGGCTTTCACAGTGCGTTCTATATTCATCCCCACTAAAGAAGCACAGTCCACGTAGCTGCATTCTCACTTGTAGATGTACATCTCATCATTCTCATTCTCCAGTCTCAGACATCTTGATCATCCATTTCGCTAGTTTCTCTGGAGGAGTCCGTGTCCAACGTATCCTTGATCGCTTCAACCCGTCGGTGCTCTTCCAGCCATCTGGTTATCTTATGTTCCGCCTGCGACACCGCCCTGACAAGAGTGGAGAGCGAGATTCCAGCTACTTTGGCAGTAGTCTCGAAGAAGGGCCTTGCCGTATCAGGAAGATCGGCCTCCGTTCGGTAGCGCGCGTAGGCGGAGCCTGGTCGGGGTGTATCAATACTCTCCCCGGTGATGACCTTGGCAGATTTCAGTTGACTCGTAGAGGTTCGCAGCATCGAAAGCAGAGCCTCCGCATCATTCCCCTCTACGGAAGCGCTGGCTGTCTGACTCTCACTTGCATTGACACTGACTGGGAAGAAGCTGGCCAATGGATTTTGTGCTAGGTCGAAGTCAGTCTAGACGCCCTGAAGAAAAGCAGTTTAGGGATTGTATTACCTTTGCTGTGGTCGAGCCAGGAGCTCTCGTACCAATCCATATACTCATCTATCTGGGACGGGGTCATGCTCATTATGTCTTTTTCGGTCACTGAGATCTCATTCCCCTTGCCCAGCATACCGTCAGAGGTCCTCCCACGGTCAAAAATCCGTTGGTTCTGTGCCCAAAGCATCCAGTCGATGACCTGAACAGAAGGTTCCTTCGAAGAAAGAGGGTATCTGTTGTAGTCGTCGAAAGGGAATAGAAGCTTGGTAGAAATGACAATCAGGACAACCACTTGTACTTCCGGCAATTGAAGTGGTCTTCTCCTGCCACTTGTACCCGTGGGGTATGCGAAAGAGAACCCCAGCAGGTGCTGTAGCCTTTTGACGGCGGGATAGATGTCGACTAGACACACATGGTTAGGATGCAATATAACATGCTAGCAAGGTCCCACTCACTCGGCAGCGCAAGCCTCCTGATGTATCTATACAGCAAGAAGGGCCAGTTCAAAGGTGGAAATTGCATGTCGAATCGATGGTGATAATACGAAAGGAGATCCGCCACGGCTCCATGAAGATGCTCGGCCTGAATCAATTTCTATCTCACGATTAGGACATAAAAAACACTCCGTTCGTGATGACAGCCAGGACTTACCGTAGTTTCAAGAATGGCGATAAATTGCGGAGGGAGTCGATCGCGCATCTCGCGGGGAATATCTTTGATGATTCTGATAAAGGGCATCTCTCCTCGTATGGCCATCCTATATCGAGCTCAGGTCAGTGCATGAACGATAAACGAAACGAGCTGTCAGGGTGGAAGTACCCATGGAAATCCTCAATGCTCACAGAAAGCCTCATTAGCAGCGCGGCAATATAGCATAGGGCCACACTATCGATAAGTCGAGGCCATTTCGTCTGCGTGGTACCGAGCTTCGCCTCTGGAGGTTCATCAAAGCTGGAAGCAGGCTGGGAGCTGAAGAATCGTGGTTCATCATCCAGCTCTGACGGTTCATTGATCTGGTCCGCGAAGGTATCCAGATGGAGCGCCCAAAGGTCTCGAATCACATTCTATGTGTTGACCCGGTTAGTCGCATACAGACGGTGAACACGGGTATTTCCGGATTGGGAAAGGAAAAGCGTGCACTGCAGGCATACCTCAAACTCTGGCGGAAAGCCGCGGCTCTGGACCAAGGTGTAAGATTGTTTCCAGAGAATCAATTGATAGACTTGCAGAAATAGACGAGATGCCTGACGACCCCGGTAAGCTGCCTGATGTTAGTGATGCATGACTTGAGGTCCACCGTCGCCGCGGGCGTCTGCGAATGCTTACTCCTTTGGGCCTTTTCGACCGCCGCTTTCTTTATGCGACTCGTTCGACCTTGAGTACCAAAATCATCTGCATCCGCTTCCACTTGTCGCCCCTATAGGCATAATAACGTCAGTTTTCTAGAGGATGATGGCGTGGTGGTCTGATCGGCAACAGCAGCGCGCCTAAAGGTGGGGTTGTGAAAGCAAGTCATGATCATCTCATACCTCTTGCTGGTGACCCCGCCTACAGAACCAGAGGCCATTGTCAAGGTAATACCGCGTTTCACGGCACCCTTCCTGTCCACAGACCCCTCGTGTGATGTACTCCATCCAGGGCAGTACTCTTCATTCTTGTGGTCGCAGAGTAGATGAAGAAGTGAGGACCTGAGTCCCTAAGATACGGACGGGTCAATGTCGAATGGTAAGATGGATTTCCCGTACTGATCAAAAATTTTTCCCCCTGTCGCAACCATACAATGTACATCAACCCGTGACATAGCCAGTATCCACAACACTTTATAACCTTTTTAAGATTGGCAATTTACGGCCATGTTCTTTCGCCGAGACCTGGTCAAATCAAAGATTATGATTGCAAATCACTCCAAAGTGACTACGGACGTGATGACGAAGACATGTAGATGCTACAACTACAGCGCGAAACCCGGGTGGAACAATAATAGGTTTTTTATTCGTAAAACTATCGTGACGGTGCTGATTTCAAGAGCTGTTCCTCTGACAGAGCACGATTTATGCTGCCAAGTGAACGTGACTAGCGCCACTGGCTCACATACCCAAGTTTATATTGAAGCAGATTATGTCGTAACGTGACCATGTGTCTTATCCGACCTGACACATGGACGAAGACAGCAAGGCCATTTTGGAGCACAGAAAAGCTGACAGGGCAGTCACAAGATCCGTGAACACGATTAAGGCGTTTATTTGCCCTGGGGAGCCTCCTTGACATCCATGCAGCACTGCTCACCCATGGAGGTGAGGACAGTGACGTCTGTAGGGTATGGTTAGATGCGGGGTTGAGAATGGTCACATAATAGGATTTCCACATACTGCAGTCCTTCTCCTCCTCTCTGAACATGCGCTCGATCTTGTCACCAATCTCACCCTCGGGGAGCTTGACATCATCCTTGGTGCTTCCATCCTCATCCATCAGGGAAAGGAAGCCGTCGTCAGTGACGTCGAGCTGTGGAAGTGTTAGTAACCGTATTATTCCGTATCACGTTGGATCACTCACGAGCTGGTATTCCTTGCGGTAGACGTTGGGGACGTCCATGTTGTGGGTGGAGGGAGACAGATCCTCGTACTTCTTGCCGGTGAAGATGTCAAGGGCGACAAGGTGGACCTTGGCGTGACCGTGCTTGCCAGTCTTGGAGGTGGACATGTCGACGATCTTGCAGGGGCGACCCTTGATGACAACGTGACCGTTCTTGCGCAGAGCAGAGCACTGCATGGGGTAGGTGGTCGAGGCGCCGGCATCGGCGGACTCGAAGGTCTCGTGGTGCTGTAGAACGGCGGTCAGTCAATAATAGATCAATGATAGACATGACGGCGACCATGTATAATCAAGAGACGGAAGATATCATGCATTGCCTGCAGGAACAAATGGACATATAGGTGGGGGTGGGAAAGGGGTGCACGATGCAAGCAAGGCTTCCAGAAGCCCAGAAGCCCAGAAGCCCAGCAGTTGCAGTGATGCAACAATGGAAGATGCCGGATTGGGTGTCGGCAATCAGAGCATAGTAATGCTGGCATAACGTACCTCGTCAGACATGGTGATGGATTTGAAGGTAAATGCAAGGAAAACCTGAAGAGAGAGAGTGGAAGGAAAAAGGACGCTGAGGAGTGAGGAGGAGGAGAAGGAGAGAAAAATGGATGGAAGGCAGAGAGAGGGGGAACAGGCGAAAAGAAATCGACAAATGGACTGCGAAAAAAAGGCACTTGTTGTGGCGGGGTTTTGTGGTCGCTAGTCTGCTTTGGGGCTAGAGTCGGAGAAACCACATCCGTGGTTGCTGTGGGTCACCGTAGCATCTCGCCCTGGGCTTATCTTAAGCTAAGTTGTGCTGGTCTCCGTATACTTCCCCGGTGCTGTGCTGTGTGCTGTGCTTGCAAACTCCCCACCACTTCGGACTTTGATTTCTCTTCTTCTCTCCTTCTCACCAGGTGCTGGGTAGCACTCATTCTTTTCTCTCACGTCTTTGTCAAGTCAATTCTACCTTTTGGGAAACCTTCCCACCTTTGATCCACCTTTCCCTCTCTCCCCTCCCCCCCTCAATGAGGTCCGGGAAGCTGTCCGGTATCCGCACCCTTCTCCGTGCCGGCCTTCTACGATGTGGCTAGACCGCATTGCTGGCCATTCGACTCCCTCGGGCCAGGTTGACAGTCGCAGCAATTCCCCTCTTCCTCCCCGAAGAACATCCTCTCGCTTATCGCCTAACATACATAACAACCGTCCCGGGTCCAGTCGACAAACTTCCTCCTTATCCGTCCTCCTGACTCCTAGTGATTCGACCACCTCCCTTCCCGCAACCGCACGTGGTGACAGATCGCCGCTGAGACAAATCGCTGCAAGATCCCGCCCCTCCGATGTTGCTGACCCGCTCGATGTTCTGAATGGCATTCTTGGGAAGCAGAATGCCAACTGGGACTCGTCTCCGGATGTGGACTTCGACTCGAAGCCTTCGGAACTTGTGGAGGACATTGACTTCCAAGGGCTGAGCTTGGAGGATTTTGTCTCCAAGAAGGATGAACCGAGACGAATTATCAGCACTGATGTCGGTGCTCAGACCGTTCAGCAGTTCGAAAGAGAACAGAACAAGTTTCAGGATCTACATTCGGCTATCACCAGTTGTGACGAAGTCTCGAGCTCGATGGAGACATATTTGAACGATTTCCAGAATGAACTCGGGACTGTTTCGGCAGAGATAGAGACTCTGCAGTCTCGCTCAATCCAACTGACTGCAATGTTGGAAAACCGACGCAATGTTGAACAGCTCCTTGGGCCTGCTGTGGAAGAGATCAGTATCTCTCCCAAAACAGTGAAGTTGATTGCAGAGGGACCGATCGATGAGAATTGGGTCAAAGCGCTCAATGAGATGGAAAGTCGGTCGGCAAGCATTGAGGCCAAAGTCTCGGGCTCGAACAGCACCAAATCCGTCGAGGACGTGCGGCCGCTTCTCACGGACATCAAGAACAAGGTCAGTATTGCCCTTGTGCATGTGTTATACGCTGAGGTTGACCTTTCCCATAGGCAGTGGAAAGAATTAGGGATTATTTGGTGTCTCAAATCAGAGCGCTACGGTCCCCCAACATCAATGCTCAGATCCTCCAACAGCAGCGGCTGGTGAAATTCAAAGATCTATACAGCTATATCTCCAGGGCCCACCCAGCACTTACGGGGCAAATCACGCAAGCTTATATCAACACTATGCGATGGTACTATTTGTCGCACTTCACGCGGTATCGTCAAGCGCTCGAGTCAATCAAGATTTACCCCAGTGACCGGAACGAGGTTCTGGGAGGAGACCCGTCAGCTCACAAAACAGGTAAGCCGAATGAGAAATCGTGTGATAACATCCAATACTGACAATCCTAGGCTCTGCAGTTGCCGGCAGTCGCGCAGGGTCTGCGGCGCACGACCCGTTTTCCCTAGGCAGGAGGGTAGATATTCTGCGGGCTGGTGCTCAGATTGCCATTTCTTCTTATCTAGCAGAGGAAGATAACTCCTTCCATGGCCTTGAAGTGCCATTCCGCAATTTCAATCTTGCCGTTGTGGATAATGTGTCTGCCGAATACTCGTTCATGACCGAGATGTTCTCGACATTGACCTTCCAACAAATTTCGCGCAAGGCGGTCGAGATTTTCGAACCAGTCTTTGGTCTGGGGCAAGCCCTGACAAAGCAGCTGATCGAACACACGACGGATGCGTTAGGAGTCTTGATCTGCGTTCGATTGAATCAACACGCCGCTTTTGAGCTGCAGCGTCGCAAGGTCCCCGTTGCCGACTCGTACATCAACGGAGTGAACATGCAGTTATGGCCACGATTCCAGGTCATCATGGACACCCAGTGCGAATCATTGAAACGAGTGGCCGCGAATACGGGTCGTAGTGCGGTATCCGCTCTGTCCTTGGCCGGAGGCGACGATCTGAACAAGTCGTCGGCGCCTCATTTCCTCACGCAGCGGTTTGGCCAGCTATTGCATGGGATACTGGTTCTCAGCAGTGATGCAGGAGATGATGAGCCCGTTGCTAACAGCTTGAAGCGCTTGACAGCTGAGTTTGACAACCTTCTGACGAAGCTCAGCCGTATTGGCGGTGATGCGAAGAGACGGGAGAGATTCCTTTACAACAATTACTCGCTTGTTCTGGCTATAATTAGTGTAAGGAACTTCATTTCTTCGAGGGGTGACTATGCTGACCGAGAAATAGGATACCCAAGGTAAATTAGCGGTTGAGCAGAAACAGGTATGTCATCCTCAATCAACGGTAGTTCCGAGCTCCTACTGACTTCAGCCAGCATTTGGACGAGATGCTGAAGAACGTGGGGAAGCGGTCTTGATAAGAAACCGATCGTATCCTTTGTTGCATTTATCTTATTTTCTGGTGTGCATCGATTGGTCCTACATATGTATAATTTTAAGCGTGCCATAGACTCCAGTAGATACTACTACTATTTACCGTACCATAAAACCATTTGCACTTCAATTGTTCTAGTCATGCCTGAGGCCAGGCCGGGGAGGCCACGGGCCAGTAGGATACCTTCCTATTTCGGAGCCACTGACTCCAAGAAGGGCCTTCACACTCCAGCGGGCCTGGAGTGCTACCTAACCTACCTGGCATTGTCATGAACAATTGAAAGCAGTCTGCATTAGTCCTTGAGTCAATGGCATGCAGCTGCATCTTCATTCAGCCTGAGCTTCTCTTTCACTATGCCCCAAGATCAATTGTTTCCTCCGCCCTGTATTTTCTGGCACCCCCCAGCCACATCCTTATCTACTTATCGCTGCGGCGGGCTGCTGCAGCTGGAGCCCGAGTGGGTTATCAGATGCCTAAATCGGACCCCGGGGCCGACCCGTCGGGGCAACTCATCCCGGCGCGACCGCCGCGCTATCAACCAAGACCTAGTACCTACTTACACAGTACTCTTCAAGTCAATTGTATCCTCCGTATCCTACTCAATCCTTACTTCAGATACTTTGACTTTACAGCCTCCTCATTGTTCCAGCGCAGTTGCTAACAATCTGCCATGGCCACGAGAAGCACTCCCCGGTTCTTTGCCAGAAGCCTCCCCCTCCCTCTCGTTCGCCGGCGCGGCTTCTCCAGCACGGCCGCTGCCCGAGCCGACGTCACTCATGCGGTAAGTCAAAACAGACGATTTTTTTTGTGGACTGGAAGGCTTATACATGTCTTCTTCGAAAGGTCATAGGTGGCGGAGTAGTTGGACTCGCCGTGGCGCGCGAATTAGCCGGTCGCGAGGGGACGTCGACGATCTTGCTGGAACGGCATGATGCGCCTGGGACGGAGACGAGTAGTCGGAATTCCGAGGTGAGAGATTCAAGGACTGATGCATTGATGTACCGTTTGCGGTTCGAGCTCTGTCATGCGTGCGGGCGCGTTGTATACTTTGAAAGGAAGGAACAATTGAAAGGGGGGGGGTTTGGGCTTGGGGTTTTTGGGGATAGTGATATTCCGCTGAGCTAACAAGGACTAGGTCATCCATGCAGGACTATACTACGGTAGCGACACGCTCAAGGCCCGACTCTGTATCCAGGGGAAGGAGATGCTCTACGACCTGCTGCAACGGCAGGGGCTCCCGTACCGCAACACGGGGAAATGGCTGGTGGCGCAGGACGCGGTGGAACGGGAATCGTTGGAGCGGATGCACGAGCACGCGCAGCGGATTGGGGTGCCCACGCGGTTTCTGAGCCGGCAGGAGCAGGAGCGCCGGGAGCCCGAGGTGCGGGCGCTGGCGGGTGTGCTCGAGAGTCCGACGACGGGGATCTTCGACAGCCACAGCCTGATCACGTACCTGCAGGGGGACCTGGAGCACCGCGGCGGCGACTGCGCGTTCCTGACGCGGGTGACGGGGCTGCGGCACCTGGGCCCCGGGCAGGGCTACGAGATCACGGCGGTGTCGGCCGACGGGGTGGAGACGGCCATCACGGCGGAGACGGTGGTGAACAGCGCCGGGCTCGGCGCGTGCGCGGTCAGCAACATGCTGCTGCCCGCCGAGCGCCACCGCACGATGCACTACGCCAAGGGCACCTACCTCTCGTACGCGGCCTCGTTCCCCAAGACCTCCGTGCTGGTGTACCCCGCCGTGACGAAGGCGCAGGCCGGCCTGGGCATCCATCTGACGCTCGACATGGGCGGCCAGATCCGGTTCGGCCCCGACTCCGAGTGGGTGGATAGCCCGGAGGACCTGGCGCCTAACCCAGCCCGGCTCGAGCCGGCGCTGCCTCTGATCAAGAAGTATCTGCCGAACGTGGATGTCAACGCGATCAGCGTGTCTTACTGTGGAATCCGGCCCAAGTTGAGCAAGACCAGCGGTTCCTCTTTCGGCTCATCGAAGGTCTGGCAGGACTTTGAGATTCGCGAAGAGGAGGGATTCCCGGGTTTTATCAATCTGTTGGGCATTGAGAGCCCCGGATTGACCAGCAGCTTGGCCATTGGTAAGATGGTGAAGGAGATGCTCTACTAGAGCGATCAAGTCCATGTATATAGTGCAAAGAAACCAGTTGTAGATACATAAACCAAGTCATACAGCAAACGATGGAAGAACAAGCGGGCTAGTTTGATGAAGGAATTGGCAGCCAGATCTCAGCAATGCAGATTGCTTATTCCTTATTCCTTATTCATTATCTACCACAGTACTCCGTACACAGTACTCGATAAGGTATGTTCTGGAAGACCCAAATCAACCCTCAAATCGGGTCTCCTGTCAAAGAGCGGCATTCCCTCCCCACAACCTTATTCAGCAAGCTCAAGTGGGTTCGCCATCGCAGCGGACGTGACGTCAAGACTTTCGGGGGGGTGAACACAACTGGCAAAGACGTCTGTCAGGTTATGCCATTGCAACAATCACCGCATCAAAAGGGGGCTCGTTTGACAAACAACCCACTAGTTACACTTCTATTCTAAGACATTAATTGAGAACGTATACTGTCCATCTCCGCATAGGTCCAATATATACGGGGGTTCATGTAAGGAGTCACATCCATGTTACGTACTGTGAAGTGAAAGCTGAGACAATGGATCCCTTCCCGAATCGGCAGGGTGGGTTTGCGGTTTGCCACAGTCCAGTCCAGACCAGACCCTTGCTGGTTGACGCGTTGTGCAGTGCAGTTGGAGGAGACCCTGCAGTGGCTGATCCACCAGACCCTTTCCTTTCCTTTTCCTCTGTACTTTAGTAGTAGGAGGTGGAGAAGGAGGGAGGGAGGTAGTCAATCGATTCTTTGTTTCCCAGCTTCTTCCTACTCTGCACCTATACCTTTTTTTTTTTTCCAATTCTTGGAGAGTACATACTCCATCTTTGGTATACATATACTCCCCGTCACTTACATTCACTGGTATACCTTTCTATACTATACTATACTATCCTACATCCCACAAACGCATAACCACCTCCTCCCTCGACAACACACACACCTTATCCTCCACAGAACCACCAACCTCCCAACAACCAACCGATATCGAACAACACACAACCTCAGCCAGCCAGCTATAACCCCAACATGCCTCCCCGACTCCAATCCCCCTCCAAACCCAACAACATTCACACCCCGTCACAACCCCCCCAAACCACCTCCACCCTGCCCACCAAGATCCAGAAACCCACCCGCCGCGCCCGAAAACACCAACCAGCCCCCACCTCGGCGCGATGCTGGGACTGGCTCCTCCTCCCGGCCAGCAGCAACACGCACTTCGCCAAGAACCGCGCCTCGTTCGAGACGTACCGGCGGGCGCCGTGCAAGATCGCCAACCAGCGGGTGCTGGGCGTGGGGACCGTGCAGCTGCGGGTGCGGCGGGCGCCCAACGACCCGCGCACGACGACACTCGTGCTGCGCGACGTGCTGCACATGCCGCACGCCCGGTGCAATGGGATCAGCGTGGCGAAGTTTACGGGGGATTTTTGCGATCTTGATTGCGGTGTTGGTCGTGGTGGTAATGGGGGGTGGCGGAGGGGGAGTGGGAGGGGCAGTGTGGGAGGGCAGAGTGAGAGTGAGGAGGGGGAATGGGCAGGGGAGATCGAGGGCCTCTTGCCGGTGGTGGTCGGCGTGGAAGGGGAAGGCGAGGCGGAGCATTTGCAGGTGCGGCGTGCGAGTACCACCAGTACGATTAGCAGCTGCGGTGGTGGGGAGGAGGATCGAGGGGAGGGGTTGTGGTTTGCGGAAGGGAGACCGGAGAGGGGGTGTTCGAGGGTCGTGTTGGCCGGGGAGCATCATCATCATCATCAGTCGCTTGATGTTGGGGAAATGGCAAATGAGCAAATGCTGAAAGGACTCGTCGTCTCCAAGGAGGAGTTGGAGCTTTTGAATGAGAGGGTCAGGAATCGGTCTTGGGTCTGAACATTCGGAAAAAGATTAAATCATTTCATTCGTATTTCTCATGGGATACTGTTTGGCGTCTGGCCTGTTTGTTATTGTACAGAAGTTTGGATCATAATTGCAACCACTTTTGAAGCAAAGTGACCATTTGTGCGCTCATGACACCAGTGGGGATTGTTCAGCCGGCTGATCAATGCCACTACATACCGGAGCGTCTTCGAGGCTAGACTTGTGACTGTGACCTGAGCCAGTCAATCCAAGCACGCATAGAATGAACGTCAATAACCCTTGCCAGTGGCCACTTGACGCTTCATTCTACATCCATTAACACATCGCTCATGATGTGAAGCACATAAGAAAACTTGCGCACGCTCCATTTGCCAGCGTCTCTCAACAACCCGGCATAGTCCAGCAGAACGCGTCGTGCGGACTGATATCCGCCTTGAACGGGCATCCCTCGGAGGTACACCGTCCCCCCGTTGCGGATGAAGTTCACAGCCGGCTCATCGGACAGCGAAAAAGGTTGACTGCCGTGCGGGACCATGTAATTGGTAAGTCCCTCAGTACCCACCTTCTGCCAGTCGATGTCATCGAAAAGCTCGATCGCAGTGCCCCCTCCCTGCGAATCAGCGACATTCGGCACCATGAAAACATAGAGTCCCAGGACTAGCGCCGCGGAGAAGAGAGAAAAGACTGAGTGGAACATCATATGGTCGGAAGTCTTGCGGTTCGTCAACACCCTATAGATATGAGCCGCATGTAGACAGGCTCGTCTGGCAGCCGGTGTCTGCGACCACGCGGCAATGTCGGCCAAAGCTTTCCGGCCAGGAGCTGGACCTGATCGCCCTGCCGCTAGATCAAAGATCTGGGTGTCTGCCGACAGCGTCAAGCACATATTGTGCCACGTCACAGCCGCATTGGGATTCAATCGAGCAAGTAAGTCTCCATACTTGTCGGCGATCTGCAGCTGGAGGGGCGCGAGACACCTGGCACGAGGATCCATACTGTAAGTGTGGCACGGCGCGAAGGGGAATTGTGGTCTGTTCGAGAGAAGACGGTAGTAGGCTTCAGAGAGCCGCAACTGCACCAGTGATAGCACCGCATGCATACAAAAGTCGTCGACCGGGCTCTCCAGTTCGGGAAGGCCCACGCTTTCTGACGGTGCCACAATCGTAGGCATTAGCATGCCTTTCCCGCTACAGATCAACTGCATCCATCGCATGGCCGTGATGGCTCGGAAAAGTGCGTCGTCACATGGCAGTATTAACTGGACTGAATCGGGCACGACAATGGGACTCGTGGACATAAATGAAGAATACCAAGAGTCCAATAGCAGCAGACCGGTAATTAATCTAAACAATTAGCCAAGTCCACAAAAGAATGGTGCGATGTACCGACCTTTTCACAGACTCTACCTTGCTCCAGGCTTTCCACCTCGTCTCAACATCAGTAAAGGTGTCGAAAAGGTTCATGTCAAGCACTTGTCCTTCTGTGGCGGCGAAAAGACCATGCCGTTGCGCGATCTGCAAGGATATTAGCGCCGAGCTGCCAACATTTATCATGTCTTCCGGTACTTACCGATATGAGATTGACATAGAGCATCTGACATTTTTCGAGATGTTCCTTCTCCTGCGCACTGTCAGCAAGTCCTAGATACTTATTGGAAATGACATACCCCAGTCATAGCAGCCAGGTTGAGAAACAGAAAGCAGGCGGCAAAGGTAGAGACGGTGCACACCGAGTTCTCCACGCCCACCGAACACTTAGCGAGATCGGCCGTGAGGCGCTCAAGCATCAACTGTTGGGCTCGTTGATCAGCAAAGCACCCAGCGTGTGAAGTCCTGCTCACTCACCGAGAAGTTCCTGCAAACGAAATCCATTGTTCCTCTAGTCCCCAGTAAGACCATTCCAATGAGACACATAGCATACAGTACCGCAGGCTGCGTATCGCTTGCAGAAAAGGTAGGAACATGGATGAAAGGCACCAGTGGGTGGAATTCGCGGAAGTAAAGATCGAGCGCCATATCAAGTACCTCGGCTGGGGGAAAGTTGTGGTTCTTTGGAATGGAGCCCGAAGCCAAGGAAGGAAGCGTGTTGGTCCCAGGCAGCGCATGTAGCTGCGACTGTTCGGTCTGTCCAAAAGCAAGATAGAGGCGTTGCCTACACGCTTCGTCAAGCCCATACCTCGATCCCTGTGGTCCGACTGGGCCATCTGACGGGGGTGTTGCCGACAGGGTGAATATGTTGTTCATGTCACTGCTGGCTACATCTCGCCACAGGCCGTTCATCAGGCGACCGGTGTTATTTGCTGGAGCGAGCCAATAGCGCTGTACGCGAGAGAATCGCTCATTCGGGATCAGGTTCCCCGATTTTGAGGTCTCACCATCGGTTGAGAATTGCTGTTGGTGCTGCTGAGGTGTTGACACGGAATCTCCACCTGGCAGGCTGCCAATTGGCTCTCCCATCATGTCCAGGGAACCATTGTGCGAAATCGAGTCTCCACGGGGCTCCAGCCAGAACTGCAGCAAGTCATTCTGCATTGGATCGAGTATGGTTCCTCTGAAGTATTGCTGGTCCGGGCCGGAGATGTGGTTCCATCCGAAGTATTGATGTTGTTGCTCGTCAGGCATCATTTGATTGACCTCTGGTTCCGTGCGAGGTTGGTGGGTGGATATATTGGCCAAGAAGTCCAAAGACGATGATGGGATCCCCGGCGTTGCGGACAGCGACGTGCCTCGGTGCGACGGGAGATTCTGCATCTGTTGGAGATCGTTGGGGCTCATTCCCTGCATGCCCTGCTGGCTCGCATGCGAGATAACCGGTGTTGGATCATTATGCGGTATAGTGGCCGGCGAGGCAGCCTGAAGACTCTTTGGTTCGCTTGTCTCCTCCTTGCGGGGGTTCTTGTGGCCTTTGGCATGGCGACTCAGGACGTCACTGCAAGAGAGCCCCGGGGGGTCAGTGACCAGACCGCGCGCAACAATTTGGGGCACCAGACTCACCTCCGTGAGAACCGCTTCAAACAAACACTGCACTGGTAGGGCTTCTCTTTCGTGTCTAGTACATATGAGCATCAGTGTGAACTAACCCCACGGGGAGATTGCCCTACGCGACCGTTCATGGCGCTTGAAATGCTCTGTTTTCTTGAATTGCCGATCGCAGATAGTGCACTGCTTCATGACCATGATTCTGCTCGTCGGGGAGCCACTGAGGTGGGTATGTCAAAGAGACAGTCACACAGAAGAATGCATTGAGGTTGCACCATGCGGAAGGAGTATAGGTCGAAATCCAAGGAGGGAAAGATTCTTGCAACCAAAGTGTGAGGGGAAGAGGAAGATTGTCTGAACTCTGAAGAGCTTCGAAGATCAAGCCGTCGGGAAATGGGACAGGTTATCTCCGATCTGGTCAAGCGTGGTTTCCAGCTGAGTTTCTCGCCGATCCTAAAAACAGTGGGGCGAAACGAGTTCCGGAGTGAGTGAACTGTAGGTATGCAATGAATATTGAGTACCTTAGTTAGAAATCGCGATCCTATGGGATGGGGTAACAAGGGAAATGCCATCGTCATGACTTGAATTCATCAAATTGCGATTTTGGATTAAATTAAGCTCCCAGAGAGCCGGGCTCAGCTGGGCTGCAAAGAGTGGCCTCCCCATGGGGTTTAGTGCATGCGCCACCGTCCGCTAATTTACCTTCTTATGTTCCAAGTAAGTGACCTCAAAACAGTGAGTCGATTAATGCATGTTCATTGGGCAGTATGCGATACGCATGTAGTTCAAAAGGCCATGGTTTGGTTTGGTGCTAGGTAGCAGTCTTCGAGCCTTGAAGTTGATGATGGTAGAACAATCATCACCAGCTCAACGAGCGTAATACTTGAGGTCGAGGGAGGAAGGGAAGAAAGCAATCCATGATGATTCTATGTACATTATCTACGGAGTAGTATGAAATCATGCGGGGTAGCCCCTTTACTTATGCTTACCAGTTGTCATGCCTGTCATGGTCTGCGTCCGTGCAGAGGGACTACCTTAGCGTGGGGCCATGTGGGAGAGGGTGGATGGTGGATGGTGGATGGTGGATGGTGGATGGTGCCAGGATGGTGGACGCTCCCGGAAATCCCTCACTTCTTATCAACACCGCCAAGGAAAGCACTCCTTCCAGTCCCCTCCATATACATTCAGGAAACAGCATATCTCAATCGACAGCCAATACATCATTCACCATCCGCATCGATGCACCGAGGTAGTTTACCGGGTCACAGAGCTGGCTCACGCGTTCCTCTGTCAGCTTCGAGGTCACCTCCGGCTTCTGCGTCAAGCATTGCAACAATGTCTGCTGCGACTCGATGCTTTCCCGACATGCCTCGTAGACAATATCGTGTGCTTTCTGGCGACCCACATGCGGTGCCAGACCCATCATCACTGCCTCCGCCACGATCATCCCTTTGGTCGAGTGCAGATTGGCCATCATCTGCTTGCTGTGCACACATAAGCCGGACAGCGCGAATTGCGTCTGCGACAGCGCCCCGACGGTGATCACAAAGCTTTCCGGCACTGCTACCCACTCCAAATGCCAGGGACCTGATGCGCGCTCGAAGTCTGCCACCATGCCATCGAGAACCAGGCCTGCGTTCGACCGCAAGATCTTGGATGCAGCAAGGATCACCTCACTCGAGATGGGATTGCGTTTCTGTGGCATAGTGGAGGAGGCGCCACGATGGGGCACAAACGGCTCGGACACCTCCCCCAGCTCATTCGACGACATCATGATAATATCCAGGGCCACCTTGCCCATCGACCCTCCCACCAGCGCCAGGAAGTTCACAATCTCCGCCACGCCGTCTCGCGCGACATGCCAAGTGATAGACGGGTTCTCCAGTCCCAGCTCTTCCGCCAGGGCTCTGCGTACGCGGAGCCCGTCGTCCCCGGAGCCCAGCGACGCCAAAGACCCTGCTGCTCCGCCAAACTGAGCCAGTAAGCATCGACGCTTCAGCTGCTCTAAGCGCTCAGCATGGCGCTGGAAACCAGACAGCCAGACTGCGCACTTGTAGCCGAAGGTGACGGGCAGGGCGTGCTGCAGATGGGTGCGGCCTGCCATGGGCGTGTCACGGTATTTTACGGACAGGCCGCGTAGAGTACAGATGACTTCCTTGAGAAGTCGCTCGACAATATTCAGACCCTCTTTCATCTGCAGGACACTGGCAAGATCCATGATATCCTGCGTCGTGGCCCCCCAGTGAACGTACTTGCCAGCCTCCTCGCCACATATCGTCGACAATTGACGAACAAGCGGCAGAATCGGGTATCCCACAATCTCGGTTTCCTGTCGCAGACGGTCCATGTCCAATTGCGATTGACGTATCTTCTGCGTCACGAGGTCTCCGATCCGTGGGGGTATCACGTCGCATCGTGATTGGGCTCTGGCGAGCGCGGCCTCGGCGTCGATACATCGCTGGATATATGCCTCGTCGTCGAACACTTTCCGGATCTCCTCTGTTCCGAATAAGGTGCGAAAGATGCCCGAGTCGATTGCACTGACAGAGCCGATTGTTCTGCGAGATGTGACCTGCTGGACTCGCGGTAGAAGCAGACGAGCTATCTGAGCAAGTGAGCGTGATGCTAACATTGTTGCTGCTACTTTGGCGAAATAGGCAGAGATTACTAGCAAACGTGTATTGGTGAACAGCCAGGATAGTCTAGAGTTTTGACGCTTAGTTGCTGACGATTGGAATGTGTCCCGACTCGTGAGTGTCCCTGGGACATCATCCCATTGCGGGGATGCGGAGAAAGAACATCAACTTACCCTAGTGACCCAGCGACTTGTCGTCATTGTGTGGGGCCCGCTAGACAGCATGCACTTGAAGGTGTATCGGTTATAAGTTCAACCGACCTATTTCTAGTAGTAATCTGCGCCTAAAGATCTTGTACAAACAGACTTGTAGATAAAGAGCCTCAGCGATAAACTAATACAACTTATATCCGATAGACTTCCTTTGCAACTGGATATTTTGATTATTCCTGAAACTGAAACAGCCTGAGCTCAATGAAATACCATTATATCGACCCAAGAGCACGACATAGATTAGGGTCACGATAAGAGATGCTCAAGATCAGACTTGCAGCTAGCCCACTCAATTGCCATCCTGACCACATTGTGGTTGGTCCCTCAAAGACGAGCTCAATCCTCCCACAGATCCTCAATCAACGTATCCTGAAATCCGGGCAGAACCAGCCAGAATCTGTCTCCAAAGTTGGTATCCGGCAGTATGGTGAGAAGGGTCCTCTCGCGGGTGTCGGTAAGTTCTTGGATGTTCTTGTACTGGTCCGTCTGCTTCTGCTGGATCCATTTATAGAGTTTCTGGAGACTGAAGCCGTCACTGGCGTCGTAGTTCCACCATTCCATGGTCTCGGCCTGGACAGATTTGATGCTTGCATTGTCTGTCTTGGTGTACTTGTGCAGCCCCAGTAGAACCTCTTCGCATCGTCCCGGGTGGCGGCCGTCAACAGCCAGCGATGCCATTCGCCGGGGTAATTGCCATTGTGACGGTTTGAAATGTGGACGTAGAAGGGCATTCTGTCGGGTGCGCGAGTGTGTTTGTCCGCGATAAGTGGGCTGTGGACTTGAGTCTTCTGGTGGGTGAGCCTCGCTTGTGACCTAAGAGTCGAAACGAGTTGGGTGATTGTCTTGCCGGACTATGCGTAAGCTGGCACCTTGATAGGTAGTTCAGTTGATATATGTGAGATGATGGCATGTGAATCTCATCAATTCCGAGCCATGTATGGTCTTCATCGTTTTCACGTCATAATGGCTCGCAAGATGACACTGGCGGTATAGTTTCCGTGGGTATTGACAACCACAGAACAACTTCCGCTCGCTCATACTAGGTAAGGATCTTGGTAGAAGAAAAGGAATGCTGCTTGGGAGTTGAGACCAGTTGAGAGCTTCAATTGCTGAGCCAATTCGTGCTGAAAAACAGATTATGCTCATCCTCAGGCACAGACTACTGAGATGTGGGGAACTTTAGACGGGAAGACACTAGGTTAGGCAAACCGAGACCGAGGATTGAAATCTACTTTGGCCTCGACCAATGGAAGGAGAGGAAAAATGATGCTAATGCACCTCGGCAGTTCCATTACCATCTTGATAAGATATTGCCGCAATCACGGCACGATTGTAGAGCAGCGCTACTGAAGATTTGTCTTTCAGGTATCGCCAGTCATAAGTCCCTGGTCTTTATTGCTGAGACGGTAAGATGAGACTCAATGGGCAGGAATACCCCAGGATTCGGCAGATCCACCCCACAGTCTGTCTGTTCGTCGGATTCCATCGGCAATGAATTCCTTGAGATCCCGTGAGCAGGTGCGATTTCACCCGATCTCGCAGTTGGCCAACTGCCATCGCCTCCAGAGGCTTGCCGATGCCCTTCCCGCTTTCGGAATCGTAAAATACGCGGTATTCATAACGGGGTTCGTTCAGTGAGCATGCCTAGGGACTTCTGGTTTACAAATCCTGAGAAAACCATGAATCTCACCGCGAGTGACTCCGAATGATCTTGAAAATGTTCTAGCCTCGGTGACTCTTCATCGGAATGGCGAATACCTTATTCGAGCCCGATCGGAGTCGCGTGAGCCCTGTGCGCGATCCCCCGTCCACCCCCGCAGGGTTGAACGTTTCTCCCCCATGGGCGGGCAAGACGTACAAAACAATACAAGCCAGCAGTCACGGGCGCAGTGGGGTCGGCTTCGGAAGGCGGCAAAGCGAAGTTGGAGTTTCGGCGGATAATCGCTTTTGTCGGCTGCGTGGCGGTGGTCACTAGCCGAAACGGAGACGAGCTATGCAGCTAATGGTTACCCAAAGGACAAGACCCGGGGATTCTTCGACTAGTACTTCTACACCCCCAATTCCTCCCCTTCTTTTTTTTTACTCTCTTTCTTTTCTTCCTTCCCCAGTTTTGTACTCAATTCACATTTGGCCAGGCTGATCGACAATCATGTCGCGGCCTTTCCCTGCGGTCCCCGCCGTGTTCCGCCCCGTATGGCGGCGGAACTTCTCCGCGTCTACCTCGCAAAGAGCTATTAACAAGATCTGTCCGTCGGCTCAGGAAGCCATCAAGGAAATGAAGGGGGCCTCCACGGTTCTGGTCGGAGGTTTCGGTTTCTCGGGTGTCCCCAACACATTGATCGATGCTGTGCGCGATCGCCCGGATATCAAGGATTTGACTGTCGTCTCTAACAATGCTGGCATGCCTGGTCGTGGTCTTGGTAGGTCCAATTGCACCGGAGACATAGCGGAGGACTTCATTCTGACTGTGAGCAGGTCAACTGCTTGAGTCCAAGCAGATCACCAAGATGATTGCGTCTTTCATCGGTGAAAACAAGGTCTTCGAGAAGATGTACTTGAACGGTGATCTCGAATTGGAATTGACTCCCCAGGGCACTATCGCTGAGAAGTGCGCTGCTGGCGCTTCTGGTGTCCCTGCTTTCTATACCCCCGCTGCTTATGGAACTATCGGTATGTTTGCGCATGACTGCCAACCAGCCCGAAGTGACTTCAGCTAACCAGAGACATAGTACAAACTGGTGAACTCCCCGTCCGCTACAACAAGGATGGTACCGTGGCCCTCACGTCCAAGCCCAAGGAAACCCGCGAATTCAACGGCAAGCAATACCTCCTGGAAGAATCGATTTTCGGCGACTACGCCCTGGTCAAGGTCCACAAGGCCGACAAGCTGGGTAACTGCCAGTTCCGCAAGGCTATGAACAACTTCAACGAGGCCATGGCCAAGAACGCCAAGTACACCATCGTCGAGGCCGATGAGATCGTCGAGGTTGGCGAGATCGCTCCCGAGAACATCCACATCCAGAGCATCTACGTCAACAAGGTCATCAAGAGCACCGGCGAGAAGCAAATCGAGAAGCTCACCTTCGCCAAGGACCCCAGCGAGTTGCTCCAGGCCGGTGACAGCGCCGCCACCGCCCGCCGCGAGCGCATCGTCAAGCGTGCCGCCAAGGAGTTCCGCGATGGCATGTACGTCAACCTCGGTATCGGAATGCCCCTGATTGCTCCCGCCTACCTCCCCGAGGGTGTGGAGGTCGTCCTCCAGGCCGAGAACGGTATCCTGGGTCTGGGTGGCTACCCCCAGCCCGGCCAGGAGGACCCCGACTTGATCAACCCCGGCAAGGAGACTGTCACTTTGGACAACGGTGCTTCCCTCTTCGGTTCCCACGAGAGTTTCGGCATGATTCGCGCTGGTCGCATTGACTTGACTATGCTCGGTGCTCTGCAGGTCAGCCAGTACGGAGGTGAGTATCCCGGTACCGGTGTCTACGTCGATCGCAATTGCTGATTCGGTTTCTCCAGATTTGGCCAACTTCATGCTTCCCGGTAAGGTCAAGGGTGTCGGTGGTGCCATGGACTTGGTCGCCAACCCCGAGAAGACCAAGGTTGTTGTTACTATGGTAAGCACTCCCCGCCCAAACCCCCTTCAATCTTCAATGCAGTTCACTAATTCGACTCGAAAAACAGGAACACACCGACAAGAAGGGTAACCCCAAGATCTTGTCCGAGTGCACTTTCCCCCTCACCGGCCCCCGCTGCGTGTGGAAGATCATCACCGATCTGGCCGTCTTCGAGGTCAGCCCCACCGAGGGTCTGACCCTGGTCGAGCACGCCGAGGGCGTGAGCGTCGAGGAGATCCGCAGCAAGACTGCTGCTCCTTTCAAGGTCGCCGAGGACCTCAAGCCCATGCTGTAAAAACTTTTAGAGGACCTAGTACTTCTTGATAGATATTTGTGTATATAATGTGAGAATGACCTATTGAATTACCATCGGAATTAGACAAACAAATTTAGAACTATCCACCATTCCACCCACTCAACTCTACACATACAATCCCACATCTATCATGTCTTAGACAATACTTCATCACAGCAACAACAGCAAAAAAAAAAGACAAATCCATCCCCAACATGTAACAGAACGCAAAGCTACTTCACCCCCCAAACACCACATCACCCTAGAGCCAGCCAGCCCCTTCAAGCACACAAAAGAAAAGGGTTCAATGCCTCGTCACCCCGTAACAACCCGCATAAAAACGCAGCTCCGGATCCATCACCGGCTGATGAGTGATATGTTTCGCCGTAAGGCGTCTCGGTGCGTCGAACGCCAGCCCCTCACTCTCTTTCTCGTGTTCCTCCTGCGACTTCCACGCCTCCTTCTCGTAGTCATCGAGCGGGGCGTCGTCGTGGCGCACGAACCCGTCGACCTTCTTGGGGTGCAGCGGGGGCGAGTTGATTGGTTTAGGGGGCATGTTTCTTTCCCTTCTTCAAATAGCTGAGTGCTCTTTTGAGTTTTGAATATCTGTGTGGGTGCTCGGTAATGAACTAAGGAGATATGAGACTAAGATTTTGAGATAGTGGATTTTTCTTTGGAGTGGGAGATCGTTTCTTTGGGGGTATTGTACAGTACTGGAATGGGGGCTTATATGCTGCCTTCCCCCCACCCCCGGCCCCGGGGAGGAATAGGGGATGAGATCATGCTACTTTCATAGTACAGTATCTGTGCCTTGCTCCACTCGATGGCGAGTTATTCCCCGTACTTCTGAGTTGATGGAGCTATCTATGGAACACTCATAGATAACTGGGTCGAAAGGATAAGAATATTGTATCATGCCAGATGGCAATGGAAGGCTTTTTGTTCAAGGTTGCATGGTTGTTGTGTTTTAGAGGGCATGGCGTCATGGCGATGTAAGGACGCATTGGTGGTTCGAGGATACTCGTCAGCCCTTGATAGCGGAGGTACTCTGGTGAAGTCGAATGTGACGCAAAAGTCTCGGCGTAATGAAGTTCTTTGCAGGGGATGATATTTCCTGGCTGGGTCTTGTGAAGAAACGCTATGCGACTATTTGAAGCGGGTATACGATGCCCTCCCTTCTCTTGAGTCAGCCACACCAAACTAGTATTAGTTACTGACTTAGATGTATTCAGTTAGCGGTCGAATCAACAGATATTAGTCGAGCCTTGAGATTGGAAAGTATCGCTACTGGTCCAGAATCCTTGCATCACTTGATCATGTCATCTGCCATCCCCGCATGTGGGGTTCCTCGTGGGGCCCGAGCGGTTGGCCTACTACGAGTACTTCTGAGGTCTACGGGTATCTTGTCTTCTACTGCCACCCGCCAATGGCTTTGTCAGACTGAACTAAGAGAGTATAACTACTGTCAGTTTTGTTGTTACTTACTTATCAAAGAAGAATAGCTATATCATGGTGACTGAGAGTATCAATTCACATGCGAGAACGCTTTCAAGAATCACATTGCGCCGTTAACAGCATCAGTCCTTCGATCCCATGGCCAACATACAACAATCTGAAAATATTTCCATTTAGGTATATATATGTGTGTAATATGCTCCTGCCCGTCACTACCAAAGATATTGCTGCTGAAAACTCACAGAAGGTGCGCCCCTCCATAAACTCGGTGCTTGTGGTGTGCTCAGCCCATGCCCTCGCAAGTGGTCCGACTGAGAACAACTGATACGAGGGAGCTGTATGGCGGGGAACATCGGACCCGAATGTGGCTCGGCCTCCCTCTCTCGGTACGCCTCGGGGTGATTCTCGAGGCTACTGATCGGTTCTTTCACCGGTTCGCTTCCTTCGTCCAGTCTCGCATATACGTTGGCTCGGTATGGGGTTAGCGGTGGAAGCTCAGATCTGGAGGCAGCCGCTGCTTGGTAGTCGCTAGGTTCGTGTGAATTCTCCCTCAAAGGTTCACTATCCCTGGAATTGAGGATGTCGGAGACGCTCGTGACCGCCCTGTCCGCCGAGTTTCGTCCTGAGCCCGGTCGTTGTTCTTGATTCAGGCAGTCCTGCTGCCACGCTCTGACATCCTGTACGCTGTTGAGAGGAAACTGTTTCCAATACTCCGTTCCTCGTTTCCCCGATCGCGAGGACGGCGTATACGACGGCGGAGGACTTCGAGCCGCAGTCATGCCGGGGTGGATATCTGACTGAGCACTATGTATCGAGGATGATATTTGGGCGTCGGACATGTGTGCCAGGAATTTCAAAAGCAGAGATTCGGTCTCTTGAAGCCGATGCTCGAGAGCTTCGATGTAGCCTTTGGCGGGGCCTCTGTAGGGAATGTTAAGCATGTCAAATGATTGAGGGAAACAATGCGTCGGCGTACCGTTTCAGTTGTTCGGGCCAATCGCAACGCCGGTTGTGTTGATGACATTGTGTGCAAATCGGTCTTAACAACCATGATAGTCAGCTCTGAGGTGTCTTTTTTCACTTTCGAACAATGTCTTTCGGGTGGGAGCGAGTGGAAGCTGCTCACTTATTTCCATTGCACTGCGAATTGCGGGGTTCACGTTAGCATCGCATCTTGCGATAAGAACCTAACTTGGTTGATAGCAAATAATGGGTGGAGCTTACCTTCTGCTTCCTGAACCGGCAGGAATTGCATGCCACGGTGATCCGAGAGACTTTGGTCGCTTTGCTAGGGGCCATTTCTTCAGGCAGAACTTATTGCAGCAATACAGATAGAGATCCTGGGAAAGTTGGGACTGCAGGCCAAAGTCACACGCCTGTGGGAATCGGGGAAGTTCGACCTTTCTTGCCCCATATTATTATCGCATGGAGGAGGTCGCAAAGCCCCCGATTCGGCTAAGTGCGGGAAGCAGTGGAGAAGTCGCCGGCTGAACGGTTAGCCGACAACTGCTTTTCCTGCCCTGTTGGGAAGTCCCGGCAATGCTGCATGGATCAACGATCATCCTCCTGGATTTTGTATCCCTGGTAGATGATGTCGTCTTTATCACATCTGAAGCAATGTAACACCTGTGATAGCTTTCGATGATTGTTTTCCAGAGAAGCAACATCTCCAGCTGTGGCCATGGAATTTGGACCAGCAGAATTCGGTAGGCTATACGTACCATTGCCGCAGGCATGGATAAGATAACGCAGAATGACTTCAACAATACTGTACCAGTGGGTCCTTCATTTCATATGTTGGGCTCGATTCGAGATTTTGGTATAGCTTTCATTAGATGGAGAGACCTATCGAGAAAGTCTCGGATGCAGTCCGAGTGGATATAGATCGTCAGAATTAGAATGGATGAACTTTCAGGCAGAACATATGCAAAGTACGAAGTATAAAGACTCGACGAAGAATGAGGGTGTATTGCATGCTAGCAACTAATGAAACAATATTGACTCTGTTCAGGCAAACTATTTCTTCCTTAACGAAATGGCCGAAAAGACTTCATTCCGGATTGCATCTATTCCCGGTGACGGAATTGGCTTGGAGGTGGTGAAAGCGACCATTGAAGTAGTCAGCAAACTCGCGCAAGCCCTCGGTACCTTTAATATCGAATTTGAGCACATCCCGTGGGGAACAGACTACTACAAGCAACACGGTCGATATGTGTCCGAAGATGCCTTAGACATCCTGCGGAAATTTGACGCAGGGTTGTTCGGCTCAGTGGGACATCCAGGTAATTGGACCCGTTCCCTGTTGAGGGCGCCTCAACGGCTGCCAGATTTGTGCAGTAGAGCTAACAGAAGTCCCCTAGATGTCCCTGATCATGTCTCCCTTTGGGGCCTCCTCTTAGCCATCCGCGGACCCTTACAACTCTATGCCAACGTACGTCCCGTACGCACGTTTCCGGGTACCAAGTCCCCTCTGAACACTGCAGCCGAGGGAATCGATTGGATGCTTGTGCGAGAGAACTCAGAAGGTGAATACTGTGGGCAAGGCGGAATCAGTCATATCGATCAGCCATGGGAAACTGCGACAGAGGTGGCGATCTTCACTCGAGTCGGCATCGAGAGGATCATGCGTTTTGCCTTCAAGACTGCACGCTCGAGGCCACGCCGTCATCTCACGGTGGTGACCAAGAGCAACGCCATGCGATATGGCATGGTCCTCTGGGACAAGATCGCAGAGGAAGTGTCCAAAGATTTCCCCGACGTGACTTGGGACAAGATGTTGGTGGATGCCATGACTATCCGTATGGTGAACAAGCCGGAGTCACTGGACACTATCGTGGGCACCAATTTGCACATGGACATTCTGTCTGACCTCGCTGCTGGCTTAGCAGGGTCAATTGGTGTGGCTCCCTCGGCAAACCTCGACCCTACTCGGAAGAATCCTTCCATCTTTGAGCCGGTACATGGCAGTGCCTTCGATATCATGGGCAAGGGCATCGCCAATCCGGTGGCTACTTTCTGGTCTGCTGCCGAGATGCTGCAATGGCTGGGCGAAAAGGAAGCGGCGAAGAAGTTGATAGAATGCGTTGAGAAGGTGTGCAGAGCTGGTGTCTTGACTGCTGATCTTGGAGGCACGGCCACCACTCAAGACGTGGTCGATGCAGTAAAGAGGGAGATTGAACACTTGAAGACGGATTAGCTTCAGATCTAGTAGCTTCTTAGAGCCAAATACAAAATACGGTATACATCACTATTGTCTAAGATCTTTTGTTGTATAGTAAGTTGTATACTCCGCGTGGTAGGCGTCAAGGCGGGATCTGACTAAGCAGGTCGGCTTTTCCGCTCCGGCCGATCTCCGAGTCAGCGTGATGGACCGACAGTCGCATCAATTTCAATTCTCAGAGTCCTGATATCCTTCGAATCCGGATTTAACTCACCATTAGGACGGGCATCATGCTCCTGTCAAGATGCAGTTCCCAGTACCCGCGTCTGGCCCGACGGAAATCGGGTCCTTGACTGCACACTCGCTGGAAGAAAGTGAGTTTGTCGGCAGCTCCAGCGGCGTTTACTTCATCAAGACAGTCCGACGGGCTTTTTCCCACAGTCTGGGCCCATTGGATGCTTCGTCTTCTAGCCAGGGGTTCCCTCCTCCGGAAGATACTCTAGTAGGCAGTGGGGGCTTACCATCTGCCCGAAGATCAACGTCATTGCCTGCCGCAACATCTCCAACCGTTCAAGGGCATGGCCATGCCTCGCGACAATGGCGATATGACCCCACGGTGGCAGCAATCCTGGGGAAGTTCCCACCGCTGGAAATAGCCCGGGAGCTGATGATGATGTACTTCAAAGTCTGGCATCCACTGTTTCCGTTCTTGCACGGTCCGTCGTTCTTGAACGCCATGGAAGCGTTATGCTCCGAACGACATCAGTCGGCCACCGAGGCTTTGCCTTTGGAGGAGCATCGAAGTGCTTGCTGGACGACCATCTTCCAATGTGTCTTCAATCTAGCCAGTGTACTTTGTCCAGAGATCGATTTCCCTCGTGAATCGCGCATCGAGTCATCTAACAACATGCACGCTTTACTTGGGACTCTATCCTGCAGGCATGATATCCTCTCTGTGCAGGCGCTGCTCGCCTCGCAACTATATCTCGTAGCTAAGATGTCACTTCGGACAGCCTCCACCGTCGGTGGCTGTATGCTTCGATCTATACTGCATGCGGGCCTACATCGTTGTCCATATCGCTACAAGGAACTTACCTCTCATGATCGGCAGCTACGCAAGCGGATTTTCTGGTCTGCATACGCCATCGATCGATACTTGAGCCAAACGCTTGGTCTGCCTCTTGGAATCCAAGACTCCGATATTGACGTTTGCCCGCCTTTGGCTTCCGAGATCCACATCCCAGGTTCTTATGAGAGGATCAATGCCATCAGACGTGCCGTTACCCCCAGCACTGCAGGATCCTCGCCCATCTCTACAGAAGACCGATTGCGCAGGCTCGAGAGGTCAGCGTATGGCCAACAGCCACTGTCCGCAACACCGAGACATCCCGCCGAAGACAACGAACAGCACCGGCGTGAGCTCGTGTTCGCAAGTTACGTCGAGTCCGGGAAACTAACAGGGCGAGCGATCGAGCTGTTCCACAAGTCCATCCTTGTCCGCTCCGTCCCTCACAGCTCGGTGCTCTTCCTCGTCACCGACGTCCACAAGTGGTGGAATAGTCTATCGATCGAGTCTCTCCAGCAAGGAGGGGCCCATCAACCTGCCGCAATACCACCAACAGCCTCCCCCGAGGACCCCAACCCAGCAGCAACAGTCACGACAAACCCCAACGCCCCGTTCAACTTCGCCCCCTTCTTCACCGTCCTCTACCAACACCTCATCCTCCTCATCAACCGTCCCTCCCTCTCCCTCAATCCGTCCAGCCCGGAATTCTGCTCCGGCCTCCAAACCTGCATCGGCGCCGCCCGCGAGATCCTCGCAGCCTTGACCACCCAGCAAGAAAGCGGACAGGCGTTTTTCTGGCCCGGGTTCCTATCGGCGGCATGGATGTCCGGTCTCGTGCTCGCATTTGCATGTCAACTCCGCCAATACGTGTTGTCCAAAGGATCCCAGTATGTGTCTCATCTTAACCCCTCCAATCCACCGTCTACATAGCATAGCAAGAGCAGTTCCTCTCCTTGCAATCCTCCCAACCTCCAACCAAACCCTCCCCCACCCCCCCTTTCTCTCCGCATCTCCACCCTCATGACTAAATCCAACCAAACAGAGAAATCTCCAAATGCCTCACCATCCTAGAAACCATGGCCCACCAATGGGAAACCGCCAAACAATGCCACAAATCCCTCTCCCTTCTCTCCCGCTACATCCACCACCACCACCAGAATACCACAGATTCCACCGCACGACGACCCTCAACCGACACACCACCCCTCACGCGCAAACGCAACTTGAATGACGACTTGCAGCAAACATCAGACCATCCAGCACCCAGTGGTCGCCATCGCAGACCTCCTCCTCCTCCTCCTTCTGGTGCAGCAGCAGCAGCAAGCACCAATCCACCATCAAACAACCACCTATCTGCTCACGATCCTATCACGGCCACCATCAATCCAACCAACACCACGAATAACATCCATATTGATAATGACGAGGGAGATGCCCGACATCGACATCCCACGACCACGCGCAACAGCAATGTTCAGGCGGAATTCTCGCTGGACGCTGGACTCGTGGGGGGCGACAATCACGATCGATTCACGTGGGGCGACGATGATCACCCGGGTTCAACAATGTCGGGGTTCGCGGCCATGGACGGCGTGAGTGCGGACATGATGGATCTGTTGCAGAGGAGTAACTTTGACGATCTGGCGGATATGTTTGGACAGCAGTTCCCTACCTTCTAGATTTAGGGATGGCATGCATGCCCTGTATAGTAAATATACTGTACACATTGCTAGCTGCCGCCACGTGGGCAGCTAGTGAGATTTCATGATAATCAACTACAAAAGCTTGGCTGGGATATGTTACTGGAGAATCAGAAACCAGAGATCGTAAAGTCCCGTGAGGAAGTCATAAGTCTATATTACACTCGTGTCATACCATCGGATACGAGGTAGGTTGAAGTTCTGACGGGATAGGAAGAGATACAAGCACTATCGCAACCTCCGTCCCCTGTCTGGTTCATGAAATGAAAATGAAAAAGACGATTACAACCATGGCATATCCGAAGCAACTTTTATCTCCGATCCCAGTCTTGTAACAGTTCGAAGCTTTTTCCCCGCTGGCATCATGGAATCAACCTGTTTGCGCGCAACACCGTTTCCATCAGTTGAATCGTGAAAAAGAAGAAGTCGACCACAAAGGATGCTCGGTCCCTTGAAGAGTGGGAAAGAAAAGAAAAATTGAATGGTATGAGAAGGATCCAATAACATGTTGCTCACTGAACAAGGCCCGACGACACCACGCACAAAGAAACTTTTAGTAACCCAGGGATATCAGACCAGGACGGAAAAAGGAAAAAAAAAGGTAGAAGAAATAGGAGGAAGAGAGGTGAAGAGGTAGGGTAATAAAGAGGTTAAGAAAATGGGAGATAAATCGTTAATTGAGTAGGAAGGAGTAATCGAGGTCATCAAAAGTAGGTAGGCATTGAGACGATAATTTACGACTTGTTCTCTTCGGTCGCAGTCTCCTTGGCCTCCTCCTTGGGCTTCTCAGCCTCGGCGGGAGCCTCGGGCTCACCACCCTTGTTCTTCATGTACTCATCATAAACGCTGAGGGCCTCGTCGACCTTGGCGCGGAGAGCCTCCTCGTCCTCGAGCCTGTAAGAGATGTGTTAGCTTTGTTCCAAGCGACCCAGAATTGAAAGGGCGGGGTATAGTTGCAAGGGTATACTCACAGGCTGAGAAGCTCAGTGTTCTCCATCTCGAGAAGCATACCGGTGATCTTGCCGGCAAGCTCGGGCTGCTGGGCCTGGATCTTGGGGTAAAGAGCCTCACCAAGCATCTGCTTCTGCTGAGCAGGAGGAGCAGCGCCAAGGGTCTGGGCGTTCAGACCGCCAGTAGCGCCCTCCTGGTTGGCAGCAGGCTGAGCAGCGTTCTGTCCGCGAGCACCCTGGCCAGGGCGGATCTGTCCCTGGAGGGGAACACCGCCGCGACCGTAGCCGGGACCGCCGCGCATACCCTGACCCATGGGCATACCAGGAACCTGACCACGGCCACCAGCGCCGCGACCGAACTGAACCTGACCCATCTGAGGGTAACCCATGCCGTTAGGAATGCCACCAGGGCCCTGCATGGCACCCATGGGAATGCCCTGGGCGAAGTTGGGGGGCATCTGCTGGTTGGGACCCATGCCGCGACCACCCTGCTGACCGGGGAAAGGACCGGGGTACTGGCCAGGGCGTCCACCGGGGATACCCATGACCATGCCGGGCTGAGCGGGGAAGGGCATACCACCACGCTGGCCACCAGCGGGGATGAATCCCTGCTGACCGGGACCGTAGAAGACGGCGGGCTGCATGTACTGGATATGTTAATTTGGAAATCGAGGGGGAGGATTGGATGGAGAACACTTACAGGCTGGGGCATGCCAGCGGCGGCGGCGGCCTGCTGCTGTCTGATGGTGTTGCGAGCCTGGATGCTGGCCTCAAGCTGGCTTCTGCGGACATCCTTGCGCTGAGCAAGAGCGACATAGAGGGGCTTGCCGTTGATCATGCGCTGGTTCATCTCAGTGACAGCCTTGGAAGCCTCGTCGGGGCTGCTGAAGCAGACGAAACCGAAGCCCTTGCTCTTGCCAAGACCCTTCTTGTCGGACTTCTTGGACTCCTTGTCCTTCTCATCGGAGGACTCGCTAGCCTTCTCCTCGGCCTTCTCGGCGGCCTCCTCGGCCTCCTCGTTCTCCTTGTTGGCCTCCTTCTCCTTACCAGCAGAGTCGGGAGACTGGGTGCGTTCACCGTTGACACTGTCGCGCATGACCTTGGCGGAGGTGATGGTGCCATAAGGTCCGAAGAGCTCGCGCAGCTTCTCGTCATCAACGTCATCGGTCAAGTTCTTGACGTAGAGGTTGACACCCTGGTACTTGGAGGCCTTCTCCAAGCGGGCAGCCTCGTACTGCTTGCGCAGCTCCTCCTCACGCTCGTGCTTCTTCTGGGCACGGCCGACGTAGAGCTTCTGGGTGCGGATCTCCTTCTCGTTCATCTCCTCAACGGCGGCCTGCGCGCTGTCGTGGGTGGCGAAGTTGACGAAACCGAAACCACGGCTCTTGCCCTCCTGGTCACGGCTCAGGGTAGCAGAGGTGATCTCACCGAACTTCTCGAAGAGCTTGCGGAACTCCTCGTCATCGATGTCGGCGTCCAGGTTCTTTATGTAGACGTTGGTGAAGTTGGCCTTCATCTCCTCGAACTTGCTCTGGCGGTCCTTCTTGGAGATGTGGTGGCCGACGAAGACCTTCTTGTCGTTCAACAGCATGCCGTTGACGTGCTTGATGGCGTTGTTGGCAGCCTCGGCAGTCTCGTAGTGAACGAAACCGTAGCCCTTGGAGTTGCCGAACTCATCCTGAGCGACCTTGCAGCTCAGAATGTTGCCAAAAGCAGCGAAGGTATCGTGAAGAGCCTTGTTGTCAATGGCACTGTCGAGGTTCTTGATGAAAACGTTGCCCTGACCAGTCTTGCGGAGGGCGGGGTCACGCTGGGACCACATGATACGGCAGGGCTTGCCCTTGATCAAGGTGTAGTTAAGGTCCTCGAGGGCGCGCTCACCGTCGGCGGTGTTGTTGTAGTTGACGTAGGCATATCCGAGCGAGCGTCTGGTAACAGCGTCACGGCAGACACGGATAGAGGCAACCTGGCCGATGGAGGAGAAGAGCTCATAGAGCATAGCCTCGGTGACGGAGGGGTCGAGTTCACCGACATAGAGGGAGGCGGAGTGAGGCTGGTTGTTGTTGGGGGCAGGAGCAGCGTTCTCAACAGCGGTGACCTCGGAGGCTTCGCTGGGGGCAGCAGCAGCAGGGCTGGTCTCGGGGGTGCCGTTGACAGTGTTGTCGGTGGCAGGGGTGGTAGCAGCGTCGGAAGACATTTTTATGGTGTTACTGTTGGGAGAGAAGGCAGATTAGCCGAAGTTCAAGCTCAATTTGAGCCAGGCAGCGGAAGTGGATGGATAAGCGTGCAATCACAGGGTTTCGGCTGTAAGCGAGAATCACAAGACACAAGGTATAGCTTCATCCACTTGAAGTGGTGACAAAATCAGATGGACAGATATGACAAGCACAAAAGATGCGCAAGGTCAGAGAGAGGCGGCTGGTGTCTTGCTTTTCTACCGATAGGATGAAAAGCCAGGCAAAGTGCTCTGCGGTAGTGGTGGGGGGGGGGAATTTGATGATCAAAGCAACAGACGTACAACCTAGATAAGATACCAGGTAGGTCTATAGACGACAGTCGAGATGATGAAGATACAGACGACAATAAGATGGGAAAAGCCAAGCAACACAGGATCACAAAGATGTAGACAGGAAGTAGTGGACAGCAGAGAAGAAGGGAAGGTGAGGTGAGTTGGAAGTGGAAAGATTTCTTGAGCTGCACGCACGCACGCACGAACGCACACACACCGCACAACTTAGAAGTAGTGTGGGAAAAGTGACAGTCGGGAAGCAGAACACACCACGAGATCACAAGAACAAGATATTGGGAGGAGGAGGGGAAGAAGAGGGGAGCTATACTTTAGTTTTTTTGTAGGTTTTCCAGTTTTTTTATAGGTTTTTTTTCCGATTGAGGGGATCGAAAATAAGGGAGAGAGAGATATGGGAAAAGGAAGAGAAGAAGAGGGGAAGAGAAATTGCTGGGGATGAGGCAGCAAGAAAGGCTTTTATTATTTTTTTGGGGAAGGAGGAAAAGAAAGAAAAGCGGATGGAAGAGGAAGAGAAGGAAAGAGGGAAAAGAGAGAGAGAGAGAGAGAGAGAGAGAAAAAGACGGCGAAGAATGAAACAACCTCTTTTTTCTCTTTTTCTTTCTTTTTTTCTTTTCGTCTTTTTTTCGTCTCTTTTTTTTTCTTACTCACTCTTAATTTTTTTTACAGTGTCTGTTCTGGAAAAGTCAAAAAGAGAATTTTCTCAGAATCTCTTTGGGTCAGACGCCCAGACTAGTCTGTTTTGAGCGATAGTCATCGCCGCCTCAACGGCTCTTTACGGGATGGTGGGTTTTTCTGCCTGTCGTTTGTTACCTGAAATTTTTAGCTTCCAGCGGCAAAGAAACGCAAAAAAGTCAACCGGGATTAAAATGTGCTGCTGTGCATTGAGAGCAATGGCAACCACCACTTCCACTTCTTCAGGTTCTATCCATTGTTCCCACCACCCCCACTACATGCCTCAGGTGTCAACTTGGACACCTGAAATACTACAGCCTGGCAGTGATGATAGAGTACCATACTTTTAAACAGTATGATTATTAGCTGTCATGATCCCCGAAACTTAGAACTGGACAAGAGCTGTTCCGGAAATACTCATCATCCATACGTACTCTTCTTCTCTCTCTCTCTCATGTGCAATATGGGACCAGGATGAGCAATTCGCAATCAACAAAGATAAAGAACGACAAGAACAATGAAACATGGGTCACCATGACGCCTTAGCTATGCCACCTAAAAACAAAGAGGTCCGAATGGGCACACGCCAAACACGCATGCAAAAGCTCTATTGACAAAAACAGTCTCAAAACTCAGCTCAAGTCGAAGCCGGCTCCAGAGTTGACAGCATAAAGAAGTTTCTCTCGCAATACGTCAGCATTGCTGTACCGTGGAAGCTTGAGGAGATTGACACAGGTGCTGGTACTAGGGAGTCGCTCCTGATCCTCACTCGAGTCACGGATGCTGAAGCGGGGGTTGAGATGGCTGAAACCCAACAAAGGCGCCCGAGGAGTGGAGGTAACAAACCGAAGCACGTTCTGTCTTTGTTCATTGGTCATCTTTTCCATCACTTCCCAGAATAGCTTGATCGTAGGATGCTCTTCGTTGTCATCTCCAATTGTGTATACCCCGCCATAGAGCGTGTTACGTCTCAGGTCTGCGACATCAATGTCCCCTCGGTCGCCGCTCACGAGAGTCTGCAGCTCCGTCTGATTAAACATGGACAGCCAAGAGGGTTGTATGATCTGGCCGAGTCCCTGCAGGAAAGCGTTGGTCTGCAGTGCAGGTTGGACCTGGAGGCGATAACGAGCGATGTAGGATATGTATACCAGTCGATTTTGGTTCGTGACGGGTATGTCGGACCCCTGGCTTTTTAGATCGCGAGTGATGGTTCGACTGCCAGAACCAGGGAGAGGTATAGTGTCGGTAATAGTGAAGTTCAACGAAAAATCCTCCACGTCGCCCGGGTAGTTCTTCAATTGAAGCTGCAATCAAATACGAATCAGTGACTGTGGCACAAGGTCGTTCACTACTTAGAAACTTACCAAGCCCTGATAGAGCCCCTGGTCCAGATCCTTCAGATCGTTAAGATTAGCACGATAAGCAGATTCTCGCTGAGCCGAACCTGCCCCTCCTGTCAATGCCCATTTGAGCAAGAAGAACGGCGCGAAGTTGACATCGACTAAGATGCCTTCATACATGCACTTTCCAATGATCCGGCCAAGGAATTCATATCGTCTAAGTAACTCCCGTACTTTTTCGTTCCAATCTGGGCTGTTTTCAATGAAGCCTACTTGTCTTAGTAGCTCTTTCCGTTGCTCGACCGCTGTCGGGTTGGGATAGAGCAGGTGTTGGTCATTCTCTTCGAACAAACTCATCTCGTTCCTGGATTTGAAAGCTTCGCTGGTCACACTGGTCAGGAATTCCTTGGTGACACCACCACCGTCAATCCCAGCTTCCGCAGTGTTCCACTTGTCGATAAAGGTGATCTGGATCGGCTCCTTGAGACCCTCGCCCAGTTCGTAAAACTCCTCAAATGCATCCTCGAACACACTCTCGCGCCTGATATTCGCATGGTGCCGACTTAGGACATCTTGTGCAGCAGGGCGCCCGTCAATCATGCGGCCCATAGTGGCTTCGGCCACGGACATACGCCAAGCATCTGGATCGACAAAGCCGTGTCTCCGGCGGATCTGATCGCGGTATATAAACTCGCGGAATACCTGGACTCTTGTTGCGAATGGAATGAAGAAGGGCATGTTCCTTAGTATTTCGAGTCGCGGTGCTACTGCCTCCAGCTGCTTCCGGCGAGCAGCCTGTTGTTGACGGCGCCTTAAAGCCTCAATCCGACGGGTTTGCTGAGCACGGCCGGTGCCGATGAGCCCTAAAGATGGTTCAAGAAGAGCATCAGGCGTGAGATCGCCCTGTCCTTCGTCATCCTCATCCTGAAGTTGGTGTCGGTTCTCCTCCTCCGCAACAACAGCGGGGATGAACCCCTCCATGTCGAAACGGCTTGTCATCAACCAGTGCCCGTCGGGGAGAAACTTCCTTCTCGAATCTCGCTCGTGAATCATCCTCAGAAGACCTGTGACGAGACCCTTGAAGTAGTCAAGCGGAATGCCCGTAACGCCAGGAAGACCTTTCTCCTTGTTCTTCGTCTCGATCTCTTTGACGCTAGCCACAGGATCAGACTGTAGCGCGGAGGAGCTGAAGTAGCTTCGGATTCCACCAGTACCCTGAACAGTTTCGTGCTCATTCAAATCGGCTGAATTCCAGTACAGTGTGAAGCCCAGATTCTTCAGGAAGAGTGTCATCTCCTTGATGTCTGTCAATGGCAATGCACTCTCCTTAGTCCATGACACCCTGGTATTTGAGGAAGCAGTGAAAGACGACTCATTGGAGAAAAACTCTTCGTCGTCCATCACCTTGAGTACAAATGTATAGAGCTCAAGGAAGAGAAGGATGATAGTCCATTCTTCATCCCTCTCTGTCTGGGACATTCCCCGAAATCTGGAATCCATTGAGTCCTCGACGGGCTTCAAGAGAGGCAACACCTTGGTTGAGTCTTGGCTGATGGCAGTAAAGATTCGGCTAGACCTGGATGCATGCCAGAAGTACTTGATGGCTGGGATTTTGGTGCCCTGTTGGCCTATCGATTGTTGATCTGATGTAGCTGAGCCTAGATAGAGCCACATGCGGATATCGTCACCCCGCCGAGGGAACACCCGCAACAACGTCAGTGCATAGGTAGCGAGGATCTTTGCTTCTCGAGATGCATCCGACTGAGAATCCGCCAGCTCACCTTGTGAAAGCTGTGTGGACTGGAGTTGGGAAAGAAGGCCTGTAATGCTGTTTTGATTGACAAGGCTGATGAGTTGATCCTTGATGAAAGGATGCAGGGGAGCTCTTTCGGAGTCGTCATCGATGTCATTAGGGTCATCCTGTTCCATCCGTCGTGATATATGCATTGCAGTGGAATTGAGCATGTCAGATACGACCTTGACGAAGCCAGTATCCGGAGCTTGCTGCCCGGCCTGGCTTCCCAATACAAAACGATGGAAGTAGATAAAGTAAGCGAGCATCCAGAGACAAGAATCTGTATCCTCGCGCTGACGGTCACGAAAATACGACTGCAGCGGATTAAGAGCGGAAGTCAGAAGCTTATAGTTGATACTGTTGGCCAGGCTATCCAAGCTACCGAGATACTGCGGAAGGTTTGGAATGGTCAAATAGAACTTCGCAAACCACTCATAAGCTGTGAGGGTTTTGGAAGTGATAGGTCGAAGCACAGCCAGGACACACTCGACAAGGCTGTCTCCGGAGAGTTGAGACTTTCTGTCTGTTGTCAGGATCCTCATGACAGAGTAATAGTCATGGGCGAGACGAGCTATTTGCTTCGGTATGAGACCCGTAAGAAAGATAAGCAGCTGGAGAAGGGGACCGACCGCGAACGCCGGCAGCGTCGGGGTGGTCGCGGTACGTAGCACACGAAGGGTCAATCGTGCCAGTCGATTCAACGGCGTCGTCCATTCTCCTTCGGTCGCTATCGTCGGGACTTCGTTCAAGGTCTTCTGGAAGACGCCCGAGAAGTACGCCAGCCGGAGAACGTCCTCACTGTTCCACGGTTCCAAGAACTGCACCAGCAAGCGCAGCTGCGACAAACAAGCCGCGGCCGTTCCATAGCGGTGAGGCCGTTGGAGAAACGCATCTTGCTGTTTGAGAAGGCTTTCGAAGGAGAAAAGCCCCTCAGTCGCCTGCGTCTCCGTGGCATCCCACTCGGTCCGCCACGCACTGCGCGTTATCTTCCTGCTCCGATAACCCCTCCATGTCCGTTGTATGGTCCGGCTCGCCCCTAATCGCTCTCTCTCCTGTTGTCTGAGTGCCCGTTCCTGTTGGGCGATTGCAAGCGTATTCTGAGGCCCTGCGCCGTGAGGATTCTGTCTGCCGGAGGGATATGCGGCGAAAGGGTTCGTGTTGCGGCCTCCAAGGTTGACCTGCCGTGGACGGCGGGAGTTCCCCGTAAATGACTGAAACATAGCTCGCCCGAGTGCACGTCGAGTCCGGAGGAAGCAATGATCGATATGACAAGATTAAATTTATTGTGAGGGGGGGGATAAGCATGACACAGACGCCCCCATGCCGCAGAATGTAAGAAAAAGGCCCGGATATGCAGCGAAGCGTTTGGAAGCGATGGAGGGGAAATGGGTGGATGATGGACTGGGCTATTCTTATGCCATTATTAAGTTACTTCCAACTACTAACTTAACTTACGCCGACTTGGCCGAGCGGGTGCGGAGCGGCCTTTTACGGCCACGCACCATCTGCCGCACCGTTTTCACTAATGCCACTCTCCACAATGCCACGGGCACGGGCTTTTAGTTACTTGCTGCAGATTACCAACCATGCATATGATGATGCTTTAATAGTGCTATTCTGTTGACCACGCCTTCGACGAATCCCAATAGGAGGGGACTATGAATCAAGCTAGCAACATTGTGTGGGTAACTTCTAGCTTGCTGAAGCCTACACGGGCCGCGAGTTGGATATATATATACTTGGTTACCACCGGGTATTTGGCTGCAAGCTCGGTGAAACAGGCTCAACCATTGTACTCGCTTGCAGACCTATGAGCTACTGGCAAACCGTGCCAACCTAGCAGATTATGGATGCGAGATACAGAAGAAGTGTGTTATCAATGAACCGCAGCCGTGATCTGCTTCTGAGCAGATCATCTATTCCCAGATCGAAGGTCTATTCAATTCGATTCAAGAAAATCCAGGTACTCGAAGAAGAAAGCAAGACTGTATGATCAACTGCTGAACTGCAAGAAAACCCGAGAGACGCCCCAAAACCAATACATGCATTTATGAGATGCTGACCCAGTAGGCGATAGCAACCTGTCAGCCCCTCTGCGCCCTGGCTGATGTGAAGTCCAAATGAACCATCGCGACAGCCCTCCAGCACCACAAACAAACCACTATACATATGATACAATCCACACAAACCAGCGCATGAGGACAAGCTGAACCCCCCCCCCCCAAGCGTGAGAGCCAACATGCCTCGTTGAATCACCGTTGGCTACCGCTGTAGCTAGGGGTGAGCGACTGCCGTAAGCAGTGATAGACTTGGTTCGGAGTCAACGTATTTCTTCTGCGGATATTTCATGATGTCGTCGATTTAGTCGCTGCGGCTTCGGCGGCAAGCTTGGCCTGCTCCTGTTCCTTGTGGATAACTGCCCAAGCCGCCTTTCTAGCCTTTTTCCTGGCAGCGGCCTCAGCCTCCTTGGCAGCCTCCGCAGCCTTCGCGGCCTTCGCGGCCTGGGCAGCCCTGCGCTCTTCCTCTATGGCGAGCTGCTTGTCAATCTGCTCCTGTTCAAGGACCTCCCGGCCGTTATCAAGCGCCCACATATCCAGGTAGTCCTTGCCCTCGAGAGCGCGCTCAACCGTGATGATCCTGCCTTTCTTCTGAAGCTGTCGAGTGTACTTGGATTGCGTCGGGCTCATGACTCTCGTGACGAACGGGGTGAGCTGATCATGGATAGACAAATTAGCTTCATGGAATCATCATCCACGTTAAGCCTGACTCTCGTACCTTGAATTGATCCAGGTTCTCGGGGACAACATATGTGCGGACTTTCTTCCAGTCGATCACGTAGGATCCGTTCTTTGCGAAGTAACCCATGGAGCCGGTCCGGTTTCCTTTGTAGTAGCCGCCATTGACCTGCTTCGTGGTCAGGCGCAAGCGCGCCATCATCGGCTTGGAGGGTTTGAACATGGCGGAAGGATTGGAGCGGTCGACAGTCTTTGCGTGGGCCTTCACAATCACTGTTTTGCGGAGAATGGGGGGACGGGCGGACGGTCAGCGGACAAAAAGGCTCTTCTGGAAGTCGGGCGGCGCTAGGAGTATCTCCGCCCCGCCAAGAACCTTTTTTTCTCTGTTCCGCATTAGAAAAAAAAAATCGACCGCATTGCAGTCGCATAGTAACAACAATATCCCTGCGCAAAACCGGTGCATGGTCATATAATCCACGACACATCAGCATATCTTTCCATCGAAGTGTCTTTCACCCATACAGAAAATTCCACCGGTGATATCGCCGCCCAGAGCGAGGGCCAACAACCATGCCTCGCCAACAGACGCAACTGCGCGGTCCGAAAGACCGGAACCGCGACCAGTCTTCTTCGAAGAAACCCTCCCAGAAGAAGACGTCCGGAAAGATGCTGAATGCCTTTTCCATCGCCGAAAGTCAATACCCCACGAAAGTTAAGATGAGACGGAGTCGTTTCGGACAACAAGATGACGATCAGTTCAAACGCAAGCGAAACATCGGTCGCGATCCCGAAGACTCAGACACACCGGATAACAAGCGCCGTCGAACCGGCGATGACGAGTCGGAGATGGGATCGAATTTCGGCAGCGACGGTGAAGGAAATCGGTGGAGACTGGGCGAGGTGGACAGCGATGATGACGAGGATATTGACAGTGACGAAGCATTAGGCTCTAGCGACGAGGAAAGATTCGAGAGCTTCACCTTCCGTGGCAGTTCCAAGCCAAAACACAAGGTTCCCGAGAAGAAAAAGCGTGTTCGTGAGATTACCTTGTCTGAAGATGTGGATGAGTCCGAAGAAGACGACGACGACGAGCTAGACGAAGATGATGACCTCGGAGAGGACGCAGTCGACCTGGCCACTGCCTGGGACATGAACACCGCCATGGAAAAGGAGGAGGAGGAAGCCAAGAATGCAAAGTCCAAATCGAAGCAGGCGCCAGGAAGCGATGATTCCGAAGAATATGACAGCGATACTGAAGAAAGCGACTCCGACGATGACAGCGCTCTATCTGTCTCCGAAGACGAAAACGATGACGATCAGCAGCATGGGCTCGCGAAATTGCAAAGCTTCGTCGACTCTATGAATACGCAAGCTGCCCCCAAATCGAAACGGAAGACAGGTGGTGGGCAAGAACAAGGAGCCCCGACTGAATTCGGCTTGACATCTACGCGCAAGCTGACAGTTGCCGATCTTCTGCCTTCCATCACGGACTCTCGGCTCAAAAGCTCATTGAAGCACGTTGACTCCGATGCATCTGCACCTAAGAAGTTGTCCGGTATCCCCGGGAAACTAGATGCTCCCCTCGCAAAGCGCCAGCAGGATCGCCTGGATCGAGCGGCTGCATATGAAAAGAGCAAGGAAACACTTGACCGGTGGCTCGAGACCGTCAAGGCCAATCGTCGGGCTGAGCATCTTATGTTTCCTTTGCCTGATCCAGATGCGAACCAGGCGCATCGTATGAGCGCACCTCAGCCACGGACGGACCTCGAAAGTACGATTCAGAATATTCTTGTTGAGAGTGGGCTTGCGGAGACGAATGGCAAGTCGGCTGAAGATCAGTTGCAGGAAATGGAAGAATTACAGGAGCGCAGACTACCAATTGAAGAAATTCAGGCCCGCAGAGCCGAACTACGGAAAAGGCGTGATCTATTGTTTCGGGAGGAAGTACGCGCAAAACGGATCAAGAAGATCAAGAGCAAATCTTATCGCCGGGTTCATCGAAAGGAACGCGAGAAACTGGAACTTCAAGAAAGACAGGCTCTGCTGGAAGCCGGTGTTGATCTAGATGAGCTGGAAAGAGAAAAGAACGAACGGTTGAGAGCGGAGGCGAGAATGGGCTCCAAGCACAAGGAAAGCAAGTGGGCAAAGAGCCTGAAGCAGACCGGTCGCACTGCATGGGATGAAGATGCTCGACGTGGTACGCAGGAGCAAGCATTGCGCGAGGAGGAACTACGCAAGAGAATTGAAGGCAAGAGAGTCACAACCGGCGACGAAGATTATCTCGGATCTTCTAGTTCCGAGTCGGAGGACGAGGATCCCTGGGACGAGGAAGCTGCCTCCGATGCTGAGAAGCGCAAGATCCGCCAGAAACTCAGCAAGCTTGAAGGGGACGACGAAGACGATGCAGGGGAGTACAAGGGTCCTCATGCGAACCTGATGAACATGAAATTCATGCAGAATGCACAGGCTGCTCGCAAAGCAGAGAATGATGCAGAGATCCGACGTCTTAACCGTGAATTACATGGTGAGGAATCCCAGTCAGAGGCCGAATCTGAGGTTGGACGACGCAAGTTCGGCAAGTCTGAAAAGGATGAGTCTGCCAAAGAGAGCAAGCTCAAAGCAGCGCCTCGCAATGAGTTCGAAGAAGCTCCGGGATCAGACGAGGAGCCGGACGTGCACGAAATCGACCAGGACGTGAAGATTGTTCTTGACCGTCCGCAGAAGAAGGGACCGGCTCCCAACAAAAACAAGTCCAACGCTCGGCCTTTGAGCCAGGTTGCGGAACGAGAAGAATCCCCAGTGGAGGAAAACCCATGGTTGGTGCAAACTACCAGGAATAATCGCCGGGTGACAGCAGACGACACTCAGCAGACGGTCGACATCACGCTTGAAGATGCCCAGCCGAGCCCTGCTGGTGCTAAGGGTGTTTCCAAGGTTCAAAAGAAACCAGTCGCAACAACCAAGACCGTTGACGCCGAAGGTTACGACAGCGATGAAGACGGTGTACCGGTGCTTCTCAAGAATCACGATCTCGTGAAGAGAGCGTTCGCGGGTGACGAGGTCGTGCAGGACTTCGAGCAAGAGAAGCTTGATACCATCAAAGAAGAGGGTGACCAGATTATCGACAACACCCTGCCTGGCTGGGGCAGTTGGGCTGGTGATGGTATCAGCAAGAAACAGCAGAAGCGTCAGAAGCGTTTCTTGACCAAGGTGGAGGGAGTCAAGCCTGAAGACCGGAAAGATGCTAAGTTATCCCGAGTCATCATCAATGAGAAACGAATCAAGAAGGTAAGAATAATCGCCTCCAGATCAGTTGCATGCGAATATCCAAACTAATGTCTTATGCCGTCCCAGAACAACAAGTATATGGCCACTCAGCTTCCTCACCAGTTCGAGACCAGACAGCAATACGAAAGGTCCCTCCGTCTTCCTATTGGTCCCGAATGGTCTACCAAGGAGACTTTCCAGATTGCAACCAAGCCTCGCGTGATGATCAAGCAGGGTGTCATCAAGCCCATGCGGAAGCCCATGGTCTAAATGCATCGTTTGCTTTGACTGCAGGTCAGTGGTTCATTTCATACAAGATATTGGTGGGCTTTTTCTCATTTGATAGGGTTCGACGGTGTTGTACCGTCTTGCCCGCACTGTACATTGTCCTTATGAAGAATTGTGGAGTCGAATGGAGTCATGATACCAAGTCAGCTTGAAGAATACTGTCAAAGAAAGTTGATTCTGTAGCAATCTCCGCATGATGCGGCAATTAAGCAGGGTGCAATTTTCGATCCTGTCGGTGCATGCGATCGTCGACAAGCGTCTGCCTCTAAGAAGAAACAGACTGAAAAACCAAGAACAAGTTCGAGATTAAAACATAGTAACGCCATCTATGGTTTGGTTTTTTAGTAGTCTCCGGGGTTGGTCATCCCCAATTGGGTTTTAAGGTTGACGGTTTAGCAGTGCTTGGCTGGAGCTGATCTGGTCGGGTGAACCGTCAGCCTCATGCGACAGTCAGCTCCGGGACTGCAGGCCGGACCACATGGACGTTGAGTTTGAAACAGATTATTGTCACAGTCACATCGACACAACCAGCCAGGCTACTTCGCATTTGAACTCATGTCGTATACAGTGAAGGCTGACGGGTGGAATGTGCCGGACGATGGCTGGGAGGCAGACATTAAGCTTAGGCTTTCCTTAGTAGTGGGGGGGGGGGGGGGGGGGTAGGTTCCTTCCAGCCTTCGTAAAGGAAGGCTGGTGGTCATTTTCTTTGGGTAAGGGCACACTGTAACACTGATGTCAATTTTAGGAAGGAAGACAATCCTAGTAGGTAGAAGTTGAGAGTTAGTATTCGTACTCTGTACGGAGTAGAAGAGGTCAGAAGGAGGGGTCGCGAGGATTCACAAGAATACTACTCCGTAGAAGTAGGTACCTGTTAAGTTACTGTGCCTGAATCATCATTGTTGCTCCTGCTGGTGCTGGTGCTGGTGCTGCCGCTGCTGCCTTGTTCCTAGGGCTCCACTCCCGGCTCCATCCCGCAGCCATCGCCGTCATCCCATGGTTTTCTTACCGTCCACCCACACCTCTATTGCTACTCAAGTAACTACTCTACACAACACACACACCTCAATACAACCTTTCTTGTCTCGACTCTCAGATTGCTCTTCCCAATTGTACCTCTACTCTCTATCTGATTATCATATGCTCCCATCAGCTGTCTGCCTGTAAGTTTTATCTACCTAGATCCCATGCACATACCCGCCGGACTCCAGGTGCACTGCATAAGCCGCTGCCGCTGTGCCTGACTTTCAATGCATTCCTCCCCTCCTCGACCCTGCATTCCGCTCCATGAGTTGTTATGCTTTAAAGCCTTCGTGGTCGCTAATACCCTGACAGATCGACGTGCTGTGATACCCCTTCTGTAAATTGACTTGGGAGATCACTATTTTTCTTGGTATCTTGATGCACGAGGAGCGGAGTTTATCTCGCGCCTGCTGAGATTCTTGTTGGCCGAGACGGGAATCTATACATCTGACCAGGTAAGCAGTGTTGACATTCTTCTATTTATTTGGACCTGCAATCCTTCTGTACCGTCTGGTTTAGTCTTTTGTTTCCCCCGTCTTCCTCTTCAATCTTTCTTTACACTCTTTTTCATATCTATTTTGGTGTGCGTCGGCGCCTCCTCTGTGTCTAGTGCACTGGCGCCCATTACCAGAGGAAGAAATTGGATGCACTCTTTAGCCAATTCTTCCCTATTTCTATTCTATATACACCTTTAATTGTTACTTAATATCCGTTCGCTCGAGTTGCATTACATTTTACATTGATTTCGCATCGCTTGGACACCTCATTTCCGGTCATTGTCGTCGAGTTCAACGACCGAGATACTATCCCTGAACCGATCCCGAGACTGCTGGCTTTTGAAATTTGCGCTCTGGTCTTCGCATCTAGTCAAGATGGAGAGACGAATGAAATGGCACCAGTCACTCCTGCTAACGTGGCTGTTGGCCGCAGAGAAGGTCTACTCAGCACCACAGATCACATCATCCGCGTCGACCGCGTTGAGGACTCAGTTCCCCCCGGCCCAAAACGAGAGGCTACTTATTCCCGAAGCGCAGGGTGTGAGTTAGACCATCATATGGTTGATGATCTGTTGTTGCTCACTATGAACCAGTATTACCCTACCAGTCTCGAACGCGAGGGCCGCACGTCGCTACAACCTTATCCGACAGTCACAAACGTACCGCATAATCTCAACGACTTGCTACATGACTTAGAGAGTCCTGCAGATCTGCTTGATCTTCTATTACCCGATTTCGAAGACGGTGATTCCGACTCCCCAGCGATTGCGCCAGCAGCAGATTCTACCTCGACAGAAGACAGTCCTTTTCATAGGCCGACTGGGCACAGACCCACACCAACCCCTACTGACATTGACGATAACGACGACGCCGACGACGAATCTGAGGATTTGGATGATAATTCAACTTCTGTGTCCTCCACCGACAAGCCTTCGACTGCAACCCCGACTACGACTGATTCTGACACTGAGCCAAGCGAAACTTCTAACGCTGCTACTTCCACCCCTTCAACCGTCTTGCCAAGTAAGTTGTGCGTCGAGTCATATGTGGCATGCTGTCTGACATTGACTGGCCTTAGGCTCAGTTACACAAATGTCTGGCGGTCAAGATGTATTTGTTCCGTTGGCTACGGGGGCAATCCCTCCAGTTGTAACATCGAGAGGTGATCACCCCGTGCCAAAGAAAGGAATCGTAAGTCGAATGGTCAATTCTGTTAGAGCACTCGACTGACTCTCACAGGAAAATGTCAACACTCCAATTGAGACCAACAAGTTCTACAGTGGTATCTTCCTGGGATCGCAGACTAATGCTACTTTCACTCACCCATATGCCGTTGCCTGGGCTAAAGGCAGTGGTAGTGCACAGAGCTACGGTATGGCAGTTTGGCACAACGAGGCCAACGTAGTCGCCAACGGGCCGACGAATTCGAAGATTCCTGGAAACCCGATTTCGTATTATGTGAACCCGATCGGCATTCAGCACTTGATCTTATCGGCAACAGAGCTTAAGGCTTCCACGGTGCTTACTGGGGAGAACCTCCTGCCGTTCTCTGCGGATGCTGTCCTGAAACCAGATAGCGGGTCTAGCCAGCGCCTCACAGTCCCCCTTGTTCAAGGCATGGGCTTTGTGACCGGCCTGTACACGAACCTGCAGCCTCTAATTCAGACTGGGGTTTTCTTCAGACAGGTCGTTACGGCCGCCTCTCCAAGAGTTGGTATCTTCAAGTATAAGGCCACCATGGAGGATGGAAGCATCTGGCTTATCTATGCCGTTCCGCAGGATGGCAAGGATCCTAACTTCCAGTTGGAGTCCAACACCAACTTCCGTGGCCCAGCTGGGTGGTCTGGGTTTGTGCAAATCACCAAAAACCCTGGTGGAGACTCTGGGGAGAAGTTGCTCGACGGCTCAGCCGGTGTTTTTGCTCTCGAAGCTGCTATCTCTGGAACCGTGAATGCGCGTACAGGCACGTATCAGCTGTCGTGGGCTAAGTCAGGGACAAAGACCCAGGATACACCCTTGATGATGTACGCTCTGCCTCATCATGTTGAGTCGTTCGATGCTACGACGAAGAGTCGGATGACGAGTATCAATCTTCGCACAACCACCAAGGGGAATGCGATTGCGGTCGTTGGAGAAACGTGGACTATGGTCGAGTCGGATCTTCCTACCGACATGGGATTTGCTCCATGGTCCGCGTCTTCAGGTAATGTGAACAGTATTTCGGCGGCAGCGCAGAAGGTTATTTTGGCTGTCGCACCGACGGAGCTCAACCAGAGCATTGACGCGCAGACCAACTTGAACAGCATGTACTACAGTGGGAAAGCTCTGAGCAAGTTCGCAACCTTGGTGTACACTGTGAACAAGCTAGGCGGGGATCCTGCTCTGGCCGCCTCGGCATTGCAGAATCTGAAAACTGCCTTTTCGCGCTTCAGCACCAATCAGCAGCAATTCCCATTGGTGTATGACACAGTCTGGAAAGGCGTGGTGTCATCGGCGAGTTACGGCGGTGATTCGGGTGCTGATTTCGGAAATACCTATTACAATGACCACCATTTTCACTATGGCTACTTCATCCATGCAGCTGCTATCATAGGCTCTCTGGATCCGACTTGGCTGTCATCCAACAAGGACTGGGTCAACATGCTTGTTCGGGATGCTGGAAACTCCGCCGCTAACGATCCCTACTTCCCATTTTCCCGCGCTTTCGATTGGTTCAATGGACATTCGTGGGCCAAGGGACTGTTTGAATCCTTCGATGGCAAGGACCAGGAGTCTACCTCCGAGGATACTATGTTTGCCTATGCGCTCAAAATGTGGGGAAAGACCATCAGCGACCCCAGTTTGGAAGCTCGAGGCAATTTGATGTTGGGAATTCTGAGGCGCAGCTTGCACAACTACTTCCTATTGGAAAGCGACAATAAGAACCAGCCTGCTAACTTCATTGCGAACAAGGTGACTGGTATTGTAAGTGACAATCCCATCGGCCCATTCATGGTTGCATGACTTACACAATATCTAGCTCTTTGAGAACAAGGTAGATCACACTACCTACTTTGGTGCCAATCTTGAATATGTTCAAGGGTATGTTGGGGCTTCCCGTTTGTTTCGTCTTTCTGCCAGGATCAACGACTAACTCATCTAGAATTCACATGTTGCCACTAATGCCATTCTCCGGATTTACTCGAAGGCAGAACTTCGTCCGCGAAGAGTGGAATGCTCTCTTCGCCAGCACTGCCAGTACCCCTGCTTCAAACGTGGTTGGGGGTTGGAAGGGTGTTTTGTATGCCAACTTGGCTCTGATCGATCCCACAACCTCGTGGAATTTCTTCGCGCAGTCCAATTTCGACTACAGCTGGATTGACGGTGGTGCCTCTCGGACATGGTATCTGGCTTATGCAGCCGGTAAGTTCGATACTTTGGGTAGCTTGACACAGTTTAGTACTGACCACATCGATAGCTTTGGGAGGAGCCTAGACCGTGAGAGGTCGGTGTTAGTGGAGGATGTATTTCATATATTTTCGTTATTTATGGCTTCGACTTCCGTTCTGCTCGGGCGACATGAATGAGATGTCTGTGCCTGCAAATTCTTATCTTATACAATCTATACCATTTGTCGATATAGGCCTTTTCGTGTCAATGCAATGATGGATTACTGCAAATGACGAGGAGCTCGTGTCAGAATGACCAATCCATACTAGTGAGGTACTGGTCTTAGTTTTGTATGGTGTATTTCCAAGTGCAGCTGCAGCGTTTGTTTGCACACGGCTTGTTTGACACGGAGTTCTCAGTCGTAGGAAAGCATGGGCAGGGTTATTTATTGGCTACATCAGCATGCCAAGCGAGCCCTGACCAACGCATGAGACCAGACCGTTGACATTAGCGTGGCAGTGCATCAATTTGGTGCATACTAGATAGATCCTGGGAATTTCAGCATGGGCCCGATAGGTGATACAAATGATTCTTTCGCACATTGTCATTCTAGCGTCGCTACTAGTAGATACCTTACTCCGTACAGAGGTGGTATTGATCGAGACTTGCAGTGGGAGTTAAGCTCGGCTCTGCCCCACCTCCAACATCCCCAATCGGGTCAAGCTTGAGTGTTGAAGCTGCCGATGATGCATGCATGCAGTGATTCTTACTTAGTACTCCGTACAATGGTCTGTTCTCTCAAATGTCAAGCTTTCCAGCAAGTGTGTCTACACTGCCTGGGGTAGGCATTTTCTGGACCTCTGGGCCCGGTTAATAATTATCAATTGTTGATGGTGGCACACGATTCGGTCCAGACAAATCGTTTAGGAATTCGTATCGCTGAGCGGCTAGCGTCAGTGTCAGTGTCAGTGTCCCTCGTTGACTGTCGTGTCTCCTCGCCAGCCAGCCATGATTTCATCAACATCTCCATACGATGTGACCCAACGTCATCTCAATCGAGCATAACCTCGATATTAAAAGCTGTGCTGCTATCCCACCCCCTTCTACCCCACTTGTCGCTACAAGGTTTCTTCAAGTCTTTAAAATTGACAACCTGATCTTCTCCCTCAAGGTCGTCGATCGGTACCCAAGCAGCAGACACCACCGTGAGATACTCGAATTGGGGCTGTGCACCGCACCTGCCACCTGCTCTTGTGGTCCCAGCCATCAATCTCGATCCACCCGACCTTTCACAACCAATTGTCGTGGCTAGTGGAACTCCCGGAATCTTGTTCATTGTTTAGCGACTTATTGCGGTACGTCGACCCTCTTAAGCCCATCCTCTTGGCTTCCCTTACCCCCTGGTTCCAATCCCCTCTTTTCGAGACCCTAGCTGTGTCGTTGGACTGAGAGCTTCATCACAAACCGCGCGGTCATTCACTCCCCATTATTATACTCCTCAGTACAAGGTTTTCTGGCCACCGAGAATTACGTGGCTTGTGCTTTAGGCCTGCTTGGACTCGCAAAGGAACAAGAACCACCCACCGCGACAAGCCACACAACGTTCAATCCCAGCACATCCGATCACGAGCTCTGACTTTTGTCAATCGATCCTGCAGATTTGAACTAATTACCGGCTTACAGCTCCAAGGACAATCCATACTACTGTCAAATCTCCCCCTCTTATAATTCCCCGACTGTCGCAGAGTTGTGGCTTTGTTTCCTTGCCACACTACATCTTTTCCGATGTGTAAGTGTTTGAACCACAGTTCCTTGGCTCTGCCAATCCATGTTTCGACCGTTTCTGGGAAGCAGTAGTGCTACCACCTTGTCTTTCAACTCCAATTACTCCACCCCCATTTCCTCACCCTTATCTACTTCCCTTCAATCCTTTCCGCGTCTTTCCTTCTGATCGACGGCGCAAACTGGTCGTCTTTCCCTCAGCAGTTCCCACTCCGACCCCATCATTACCCCATCATTCTACAATTAGTTTCATTCTATCACCCTCCAACTATTATTCCGGTCTTTTAAACTCATCTTAGACTTGCTTGAAAGTTATAAAGCAAAAGTTGGATGGTCGATTATTTTATCCACATTCTCTTGTCGCTTCTGTGAATTTTTTTCTCTTTTACATCTTCATACTCCCTAGTCCGCTTTGCGCCATCCACCATAGTTAGTCCACTCAACACTTTTCGCTAACAAGTTTCTGTCATTGGCCTCGCAGCGGCTACAAGCATTCGCTCGACAGTTCGAAGGGTCTCCTGGGGACCCAGAAGAAACATGACGGGATTCTCGTCAAGAAATGGCTCCGTCGAGCCGCCAGATGAGAGACAGGCTTTGATCAGCGATACAGCTCGCATCAACTCTGGGTTTCGCCAGCAACATCAGAAGCCTCGACACCACTGGTCTCATTGGCCTAGACGAGTTGCGCATCTAACATGGTCGACACTGGTCCGCGATTATGTCAACGTCCTTCTCGTTTTCGTGCCTCTGGGCATCATCGCAGGTGTTCTGCACTGGGATAGCACCGTCATTTTTACGCTCAATTTCTTGGCAATCATTCCTCTGGCCTCGCTCCTGAGTTTCGCAACCGAGGAGCTGGCCGCGACGATGGGTCAGGCTCTAGGTGGCTTGATGAATGCAACATTTGGCAATGCCGTTGAGCTGATTGTAAGCCCGCTCGCTAGAGCCCTCTCAAAATGGTGTTTGGTCTAACACGAATGGTCGATTCCAGGTTAGCATAATCGCTTTGAAAGACAATCAGATTCGAGTTGTCCAAGCCAGCATGCTTGGAAGCATTTTGTCCAACATTTTGCTCGTCCTTGGATGTTGCTTCTTCATTGGAGGATTACGTTACTCCGAGCAAACCTTTAACAGTACAGTGGCATCAACCATGTCTTCGCTGATGACCGTCGCTTCCGCTTCTCTCATCATTCCTGCTACGCTTTATGCCTCTCTGAGCGGGTCTGACAAAGGGGAAAGGAGAGATAACATCCTGATTCTTTCCCACGGAACCGCCATCATCCTTTTGATACTCTATGTGATGTACCTATACTTCCAGCTCAAGTCGCACGCGGAACTTTTCGAAGAAGCCAACAACGAGATTAATGACGCCGAAAACCAAGCGGGAGACGCGGGAGCGGAGGAGGAAGAAGAAGAAAGACTGCTCAACCCATGGGCTGCCACAGTTGCTTTGATTGTCGTGACGATTCTGGTGGCTATCTGCGCCGACTACCTCGTAGGTAGTATCGACAGCATTGTACAGAAGACTGGCATGAGTCGTACGTTCATTGGTCTTGTTTTGATTCCAATTGTCGGCAACGCCGCCGAACATGTCACCGCCGTGGTTGTTGCTTGGAAGGGCAAAATGGATCTGGCTATTGGAGTTGCCATCGGGAGCAGTCTCCAAATCGCGCTGTTTGTTACTCCCTTCCTCGTCATTCTTGGCTGGATCATGAATGTGGATATGACACTGCATTTCCATATCTTCGAGACTGTCGCGTTCTTCATCTCTGGTTTGGTCGTTACTTTCCTGATTCAGGATGGAAAGTCTAACTACCTTGAAGGCGGGCTATGTCTGGGAATGTAAGCATCCGAGCCCCCATCCAATGGTGACTGGTCGCTCAATTTACTGACTATCATCATAGGTACATCATTCTCGCACTCGCTTTCTACGTGTATCCGGACAGTGCTAGCGACGATGCTCTGTTCAATCATTGAATGTAGCATCTCAGAGCGATGTGAGAGCCTATTTTGTTAATGCTGTTAGCATTCTTCGGTCTCAAACTCTCGCGCTCGCTCGACAATCTTCCGTCCTTTTTCAATTGCTCATTTTGTGCATCTAGGTCATGCTGTATGTAATACAGCTGTGATTTCTCGCGTGTGGTAAGCGGCGGCGATTTTCATTTCTCGGTGTCATTGTTGGTGGCTCTTTGTTTTTGCTCTGCTGGACGAAAAACGCTGTTGGCCAGTTAAGTAGTTATCGTACTCTGTTGCTTCTACAAGCGTGCCGTGGTGCGTACGGAATTTAAATAAGCTTGGTGAGTCCAATTGCGGCGTAAGATTGACTGTATTGAAGGTGCTAGACTGTAGAGTGCAAATCCTTTGGGATTAGCAATTGTGTCCAGGATCTTCGATAACTCAAGTCTAAGAATGATGTAGTGTACAAAAACATCGTCATAGTTGTGGCGGTTCTCGTTTTCTTTCTTCACATTCGCTGGAATCTTGGCAATCGATGACTCAGCAAATGTGGAGGAGGAAAATCGTTCGCCGGACTTCATGGCAAGGAGCCAGGCCCGATTAGAGTGACTTCATCCACTTTCATTCCCTTCCAATTGACAGATAGTCTCCGGTCATTGAAGACCTCATATCACCATGCCGCCGCGTCTCAATCTCTTCACCGCAAGAGCGGTTCCCGCTTTATGCCAGCCTTCGACGGCCGCTGCCCGCCGCAGCATCGCGACTATTTGGAATGCCAACCGGCCCTCGACCACCAATGGCGTGAAATCCGGCCTCTCAGCTTCGGCCCAGATGACGAAGCGTTGGAACTCGTCCGGTAGCGATGGAAAGGAAAAGTCAGAGGGCTTTAAGGGCCCGACCGAGGACCCATTGCCTCATGTTAGTGAAGAGGCCGCCGAGGTCAGCAAGATTATGGACAAGAGATGCGATGGCGGTGTCTCCAGCCCGGAACTGGAGCAGGGAACGCCTATCTCTGAGGTGAGTAGCTCGTCTGGACTGCTGTTGCCTCTTCAGCGCCATGTCTTCCCCCGTGCTTCTGGTAGCGTCTAAACACTAACGTTGACTACTTTTCCGCGCAGATCTTGCAGCGTGATAAGAATGCTCAAAAACATGCCCCCAAGGTCATGCAAGACCAAATGAAGAATCAGTCGGGCAAGCGCTCATTCTCAACATCTGCTCGTCGCATGCAACCAGAGTTAGAAAAGTCGGCTGATTTCGACGACGCTTCGGCTGCCCTTGTGGCGAACATGGTTTCTCAGGTTAACGCGCAAGCTGCCGAGTTGCACCCTGGACTTAAATTCGATGCGCCCAGCAAGCCTTTGGGCAAGACCGATAACTTCCGTTCCCGATACGACGGGCTACTGGAGCAGCTCACAAAGCAGCTCATGCGTGATGGCAAGTTGTCCAGGGCTTACAAGGTATGTGGCTAACTCCATCGGACCTGGTCCTCTGAGCCATAGTCATGCTAACTGCGATGCTCTGGCAGGATATGTCGTTCATTCTGGACCACCTGCGGACTTCGCCTCCACCCAACAGGAACCCGAGGCGACCTTTGCTTCCCGGCCCCCCTAACGCCCAGCTTCCTCTCAACCCTCTCCTCTACCTCACTCTCATCATCGACTCCGTTGCTCCCTTGGTCAAGATCCGCCAACAGAAGGGTATTGCTGGTGGTGGTGCAGCGGTGCAGATCCCTGTGCCCCTCGCTCTCAGACAGCGTCGGCGGACGGCCATTCGGTGGATCATCGACGCTTCGGACAAGCGTCGGGACAGCAACTTCGCTATGAGAGTTGCACAGGAGCTGGTTTCCGTTGCGGAGGGCCGTAGTGGTGCGTGGGATCGCAGGGAGATGGTGCACAAGCTTGGTGTTGCAGGCCGGTCGAACCTTGGATACCTCATGAACCGGAGATAGTTGTTTTGTATCACCAGTTCAGTTTGATTATGCCATGATTGCAGCGATGGGGTTCAATCTAATTGCATTCCATGGAATACGGGTTCAGGAATTGGCTAACTTGCTTTTGGGGGATGTTGTATATTTTTTTCTTATTTTCTCCCAGTGTGTATTCCTTACTTTGTTCGTTTGTTTTTTTCTTCAACAAGCCGAGTCACTGTTTCAAAGAGTCTTGTATATTTAATGTTCACCGATCTAAATCTTCTAGCAATCGCCGGAAAGGTGAAGCTCCCCGATAACCTCCGGATGACTAACGCCCCCTTCCCGATTGGGTTGTCTCGGCGTCAGCTGTAGCAGTTTAGCTCAGCTCAGCTCATCTCCAACGTTTCCTACTTCAATCTGACTTTTTGTTTCCCTAGGATGAGAACTAGCCCACTTCTCTCTCATTGCTTCTCACTGCTTCTCATCAGCTCTGGTTTTGACAGGTGCCCTGGCACATTGCAGTTGTAGACGTGCGTTGGCGGTTCGCCGACCGGAGTCTTGCACAGCCATCGACTAACTACCCGGGGACGATAACGATACCATTAACTAAACCACGAAACGAGAGTCGTTATCAACCAACACTAGTGCGCTAGCGTTCGAAGGTGCAACCTAAAATACACATTCAGCCAGACCGTCAAATCCACGAGTGCGAGTGCATTGAACCGATATTTAAATCATTGCCGGTCTTGCCCCGCTCCTCCCTCGCATTCTTTTTCTCGTCCGACACCGTGTCGTCGAATGCCGTTGGCCGATCTGTGGCACGCATCGCTTCTGCGAGGGGTGCCTCCACGCACTACGATAACACCGTAACCCCTCTCGGTCATCAGGCTATCGAACTCGTCGAATTCCCCGAATCCCTTCCTGTCACAACATCGGCCAAGTCACACGATCCGCGATCTCGAGCCGTTGCGCACCACCCGGACAGTACCTTACACGGCACCGACGACGAGAAGAGGGTCCCCCGGCGCACCCAGCACAGAAGGCCGGATAGAATCAAGTTTTGGATAGAAGCTCTCCAACGCTGCGCTCATCACCACCAGCGCACCCATTCGCCCAAGATGAAGTTCTCACACAGCATCCAGTTCAACGCGGTCCCGGATTGGAGTGCCTATTACCTCGCTTACAGCAACCTTAAGAAATTGTACGTCGTCCGACACCCCGTCTTCCCAATTCCGCTAGCACAATGCTCGCGTTGTGCGACATTGCTTTCGTTGGGGGGAAGGAGAATCGTTGTATCCACTGGTCTCCTTTGCGAGGCGTCAAAGTGCTGAGCTAACCTGTTGTGGTAGGATATATTCCCTAGAACAGGAAGCGCACCGCTCGACTGGTCAGAGCCATCCCGATATTGAGTCAGCGCCGCTGCTCGATAACACGCCGAACCCGGATGCGATCTTCCGTCGGGCTTTAGATGCGGAGCTGGAGAAAATCTGCTCTTTCTACCAAGTGAAGGAGGTGGAGGTGTTCAAGGAGGTCGAAGATGTGGCCAGACTTGCGGAGGATTATGTGTCTAGGGCCGACAGAGCAAATATCGACCCAATGAGCGAGAACATGATCAAGGCTAGGACCATGAGTTCCGGCTCGAGGAATCGACAGGAGCGGCGGCGTAGCACGTTCAGCGGCACGATCGGAGTTGAAGACGATGACGATGATGACGATGCAGACAGTGACGATGACCGTGCCGCGCCGACGGATCAGAACCGACCTCGGTCGCATGGGGCCGAATCCAGTAATCACGACGGTAGTCGCACGGAGGATATGAGGGACTCGAGCGTCTGGGCGGCAGATTCTAGGCTGCTAGGGTACCACGGCCAATCTACAAGCCGTGCAGGCGCCCACGACGAGCAAAGCGCCGATCCCACCGTGGTGGATCTCTATAACGATGGTGTCTCGCTCAAGAAACAGGCTGTTACCGCCTACGTCTCCATCTGCGGGCTCAAGTCGTACATTCAGTTGAACAAGACGGGCTTCTCCAAGGCTCTGAAGAAGTATGACAAGATCATGGACCGTAACTTGCGCCGGGATTACATGAACGCGGTTGTGGCTCCGGCCTACCCCTTTACGGATTACACCATGGAAAGGGTAGATGATCACATCCACAAGATCGAGGCTGTTTACGCTGAGGTGATTACTACGGGCAACCTGCCTCTAGCCAAGCGTGAACTGCGACTGCATCTGAGAGAGCATGTTGTCTGGGAGAGGAACACCGTCTGGAGGGAGATGATCGGCATCGAACGGAAGGCTCAGGCTGCTAACGTTGGTATTCGTCGCACTCTACTTGGGGGAGACAACGATCCAGCAGCCGCACGCCGCCAGGGTGACGAGCAAGAAACCAAAGGTACAGTGGTGAGGACGCCGATTGGTGTCTACCACCTCCCTCAGTGGGTTTGCAGCTTGAGCTTCGGTACACTTGTCTTTATCTTGGTTGTTTTTACGACTTTGCTTTCTGTTCCTATCCTGGAAAAGCCGGAGCAACAGAATTGTCTGGCTATGCTTGTGTTTGTCAGTTTGCTATGGGCTACTGAGGTATGTTTGGCCACGTTTCGGGCTGTCAGACATTATCACGGACAGCGCTAACTGATTGCAGGTCATTCCTCTCTTCGTGACTTCGTTACTTATCCCTTTCCTTGTCGTGATGCTTCGTATCATGAAGTCCGAGGACAAGCCTCACCAGCGGCTGGGACCGAAGGAGGCCACCAGCGCCGCCTTTAGTGCCATGTGGACGCCGGTAATCATGCTCTTACTCGGCGGGTTTACCATTGCAGCAGCGTTGTCCAAGTACGATATTGCCCGTCGGATGGCTATGTTCGTGCTGAGCAAAGCGGGTTCCAATCCCCGAGTGGTCCTTCTCACCAACATGTTCGTGAGCATGTTCTTGAGTATGTGGATCAGTAACGTCGCCTCCCCAGTCTTGTGCTATTCGATCATCCAGCCGCTTTTGCGCAACCTGTCACCGGATTCGAACTTCGCCAAGGCCCTTGTCCTCGGAATCGCTCTGGCGGCCAACGTCGGGGGCGCCGCATCGCCGATCGCTTCTCCACAGAACATCATTGCACTTCAGAACATGTATCCGAGCATCAGTTGGGGTACATGGTTCTTCATCTCTTTGCCTGTGTGTATCATCTCTATCCTGCTGATTTGGGTCCTTCTGTTGGTTAGTTTCCATGTGGGTCAGGATACGACCATTGTTCCGATTCGACCACTCAAGGACAAGTTCACGGGCGTGCAATGGTTCATCACCATTGTGACTCTGTCGACCATTGGCCTCTGGTGTGGCAGCCACCAACTCGAACATATCTTCGGCGACATGGGCGTGATCGCCATCATTCCCATGGTTTTGTTCTTCGGCACTGGTATCCTCAACAAGGAGGATTTCAACAACTTTCTTTGGACCATCATCATCCTTGCCGCGGGCGGACTCTGTCTTGGCAAGGCCGTCACATCGTCTGGGCTTCTGCACACACTCGCCAATGCTATCCGGATGCGCGTGGAGCATCTGAGTCTTTACGGCGTGCTAATCGTCTTCTCCGCATTGATTCTGGTCATCGCTACCTTTATCTCCCACACCGTTGCGGCATTGATCATGCTCCCTCTGGTCCGCCAGATCGGCGTCAGCATGGCGGATCCTCACCCCAACCTGCTCGTGATGGCCAGCGCCTTGATGTGCTCTGTGGCCATGGCACTTCCCACCAGTGGCTTCCCTAATATGAGTACGTGACCCGCACTTCTCTTCTTGACTCTTACCATGCATCTAACCAACACTTGTCTCTAGCCGCCATCATGACTGAAGTCCCGCAAACCGGCCAGCGGTACCTGCAAGTCCGGCACTTCTTTACGCGCGGTATCCCGGCCAGTCTTATGGCGTTTGTCGTGGTCGTGACGGTAGGCTATGGGTTGATGTACATTGCGGGGTTGTAATCGAGGATGACATGAGAGGGTATGCTTGGTTTGGGAATTGCGTGGCTGGGCTGCGGTACATGACTGTTCTTGGCGCAATGACTTCGAATCACCATGGCTAACGGTGTCGTTACGGTGGGTGAGTTTTGAGGTCTAGTACTGGACTTGGAGTGTATTGTATGCATGCCAATAGCCGCGGTGGCGGGGGGAGAGGGGAGGGGGGATCTATCGGTTCTGTTCATGTTTATTTTGTTTTACCTACCTAACCTTTCTTGCTTAACTGTTTCAATTAGATGGGAAATATATAGAGTGTTGTTCATATATCTGGCTTAAGACAAGATGGCGGTTACTGTCAGACCTTTCTTCTGATGTTTACAGCATTCGAACGTTTGAAAACCCAGGCGCATTGATGGTTCATCCATTTGACAAACTCCTACAGTCATTGGCATGTGTCTACATTATCAGATCAATCTTATAGGATAGCTGGTTCATCACATTCGTTTCATCGACATAACAGGAGGTAGTAGAGTAATGAAGATAAGCGAGTTATTAGACAGGCAAGGAGGAACCACACACACACACACACACACACACACGAATATCTTCTAGGAGGATGCAGGCATGATGAAGAAACAATCAAGAAAACTCGAAACCAAGCACAACGACGAAATAAAGTTCTCAAGGCGAAAGAAAAGTGGAGGTATCAAAACCGTCAAGGCATAAGCATGAAACACCGCCCGCTAAGGAGGGTGTGGTGTGTTTGGGGGTGGGGGGTAGGAACCGTGCGGGATAACACTTTTTCTATCGAGACCCTCGATTTTTCATTCTGCAGCAGAACGAAGAACCAGAAAAGAAATGAAAATCGAAAATGAAGCTTCAAAGTCACTGGGAAAGTGTGGGGAAAAAACGGGAAGGGGAGGGCGGATTTCGAATCGAAAAAGGGGTGTGTTGTCGTTGTTTAGTTCCTACGGTGAGTTTTCGGACGTGGTTAGCTACTATTCGCACTATGAGCTGGCTTCAAATATATATTCGGAGTGGAGAGGGAGAAGAGGGAATAAATAGGGAAGAGTGAAGGGGGGAAAACTTACAACAAGCCCAGAGTCAAATCACCGTGAATCTTGGCCTTCAATTGGACCTCGATGTCCAGGTTAAGATCCAGCCGCAGTCGCAATTGTTCGTCCTTGCCATCGCCCTCCTCCTGCTTGCCGCCGCCGCCGAGGAGGCCGCCGACGGTCTTGCCCGCTCCGCCGGTGACTCCGCCTAGGGCTTGACCCGCCGTGTTCTGGACGAGATCGCCCGCCTGCCCGACCCCGGGGAGGCCGCCCAGACCGCCGTCCTGGCCGCCTTGCTGCTGCTGCTGGGTGCGCTGGCGGCGCTGGCGGCGGGGCTTCTCAACGGCTCCGTTGTCCATGTTGTTGCGGGGGATCGATTCCGTGTCGGATTCTTCTTGTTGTCTGTGAAGTTTCTGGGGAGGACGCGAACGGCGTTTGCGCTGCTGCGGGTCCTTCTTGGGTTTGCTGTCGGCTTCTTCGGATTGGGGTTCTTGCTTGGGTTGAGGAGCGTCGGATTCGGGCTCTTCTTTCTTGGGTTGGGGCTCTTCTTTTTCTTCTTTCTTGGGCTGGGGTTCGGCTGCTTCTTCTTCTTTGTCTTCTTCTTGCTTTATCTCGGGTTCTTGAGACTTCTCCTCGGGTTTATCTTGGTCCTTGGATTGGTCTTGGTCTTGGGGTTGATCTTGATCTTGTTCTTGGGATTGATCTTGATCCTTATCCTTATCGTCTTCCTTTTCCTCGTCGGGCTTTTGCTCCGATTCGTTGTTGTCGTTGTTGTCTTCTTCCTTGGACTGGTCAGGTTGTTGCTGCTGCTGCTGCTGCTGCTCGGACTGGTCTTCCTCCTGGGGCTGGGGGGAGCCTGGAGTGTTCTCTTGTTGAGGGGTGGAAGGGTTGGAGGAAGGATTGTTGGTCTGCTCGGACATGATGAAAGAAAAAAGAAAAAGAGAAGAAGAATCTCAAGGAGGATTGACGGGGGGCACAAGGACGAATATATCTGGTGATGTTACCGGTCTGGTGATACGGGGTCGCAGATCTATATAGGGCTTTTTTCTTTCCTTTGCGTTGTGCATGTTACATACAGGCTTCCACCACTCCCACCAACCCCTTTCACCACCAATCCCAGCCGGTTATTTGGGACCAGAGGTCGTTTTGTTTCGGTTTACCTTGATTACTTTCGATTACCTCAATTCCTCGATTGCAAGATGGGAAAATGCCCCGCTCGGTTCAGTCATGCAAGGATCTGGGCATATTGTGGGTTGGGGGGAAGTTTGGGGGGGACTGCCATCGACGTCAGCTTGCGCCGCCGACGAGGGAGGCGATCGTCGTTGGTAGGTGGTCTTTTTTCTTTTTTTGCTTTTGCTGCCAGGGCTGGGGATGATGACGTCGATTGCTGAGGAGGGAGGGGAGTTAGTGTTTTTTGACAGTGACAGGGGCCTTTTGTTCTTCTTGTTCATTGCCAATGGCATACCAAATCATCCAATAAGAAGATGGTATCGGACAATATGCTATTTATTGTTTGATTGACTGTGCCGTGTGTCTCCACCAACTTATGCCCTTTCCAGTCACTGTGGATGACGCCCGCGGCCAACAGACGTCACTCTCCAACGGCTTGAGAAGTCATGGATTGATTACACGGACAATACCCTCATTGTTACCACAAGTACAATCAATATACCTCTGGAGCTCAGTACGTGGGATTCACTTGATGAATTGCTGCTCTTCACAGCACATAAGAGTTGATAGGAGTCAAGATAAAAAGTATAGGAATGTGTCAGGATCGGATACGCAGTGCCGATTTGCCTCTTTTTTTCTGACTTCTTGGAATGACCCGCAGTGCACTTTCCATGGCTCTTCTCTCGGCCGTACCTCTGCCATTTCCAGGTACCGAGTAACTACACCTGGCATGCTATTCTGGTTACCCGATGGTCACACCGTGGACTATGCTCCGGTACGTAACTTGACTACTGTACTCTATGAAAATGTACTACTCAGTATGTCCGAACAGTGCAGTCTACGTACTCCTCCCTCCAAACACAACCCCCCCCCCATGATGACGATGAATTCATTCGGTGGTCATTGTAACCCCACCACCACAACTACCACCACCACCCCTTGCGTCCTCAAACGAGGGTCCAGACAACGTGGCCCGGCCGATCAGGAATCGCCTGACCTGAGAGCTGGAGCGATGCTGCAACGACGATGATGTCGTTGATGTCCGTGGTGCGGAGGCGCTTCTTTGGCTCTCCTTCCCTGTCCCTCCGACGTCATATCGCTCGACTTCTCCAGTCGCTCATGCGAAGTCATCGCAGTCTTTCCCTGCCCATTACGCCTGCTTTTCCAGACCTGTCCTTCCTCACAGACCATTTGCTCGTACCACTCACCCTATTCGTCTCTGTCGTTCTTCGACCCTCTGCCCTCTGACGATTCGCCTTCTACTTGTCAGTCCCGTCCCATCGGTGTTGAGCCATCTCGTATGTAAACCCACCATTGTCGCTCCGGCTCGCTCTATTCCTCTTCTTTCCCTTCCTCTCGTTTTGCTTGATTACATACTCATACTCGTCGTTGACCTGACGCGCCTAGGCACTAGCCACGATTGATCCCTCGGAAGATACACAGATATACAAGTAGTATAAACCGCAATCTGATTACCTTTTAATTGCCTCTTCCCTGCACCAACAAGCAGCAACAAGCATACACCATGGCCACCGCACAAGCCGAGAAACCCAAGACTCAACAGCCTCCCACTTACACTAACGACCCTGACGACTCGGAGACTGATTACGATTCGGATGACTACATCTCTGAGGAAGAGGAAGATCAAGCACCGCAACAACAGAAGCAGACGGCCCAGCGTCGCCGGCGACCTCAAGCCCAGGGCCAGACTTACGACGATGACGATGACGATGCAGAGTACTCTGATGACTATGCCTCGGACGAGTACGACGATGACGACGATTACAACGATGAATATGACGATGACGAGCAAGAAGCTGTGCAAGCGATGGAGCGCTGGCAGCCTACTACGATAAGCAGCAGTGACAACAAGAACCTCTCCAACGGCGCAATGGATCCGGCACCCTCGAACGACCAGAAGGGCGCAGATGAGGAGGGTATGCGCCTGAAGTTGGAACTGAACTTGGAGATCGAGGTTGAGCTGAAGGCTCGCATCCACGGTGATTTGACATTGGCTCTGCTGTAAGTGACCCCCACTCCTGCACTATACCCCCATACTCCCTCCTTTCTCTCGTGCTTGTCTGCTTTTCTTGTGGTTCGCCTCGAAGAGAACCTTCGAGGTATCTTTCCTATGAGAGAGTCTTCGGGGGTTTTCCGACCCGGCAACACTGAAAAACAACAACAACAACCCCACAAAAAACTCCCGTTGGACTCCGCTTAAGCAACTGAAATAGAACCTGACGGATTGACGATTTTTCTTTGATGAACGCAGCGCATGATCCGACATGCTCTTCACCGATTCGATTCTGTTGTGCTTCGAGAGCGACCGTGCCATCCGAATCTCTTCTCGAGAGTTTCCTCGCCATCGCAAAACATCCCGTTTCCGCCGCCTGTGCTTGTCGCGTTACGACGATTATGAAAGGATCTTTACCTGACTGGTTGATTACTGTCGCTTTATTCTTTGTGTTGTCAGCTGTTCTCATAGAGCTTTGGCTAGTGTTTATTGTGCATAATTATACTCCCATCGTTGGTCATTTCGCGTTATAGCGGTAAATGTAATAATCTATTTCAAGTCAATGCATCCGGTCCTTGGCACGGTGTACTATCGATCCTCCTTCGTGATTCTTGCATAGGGGGACCGCTGCTTATGTCTATCTTTCATGACAAGGATGCGTGCGTGAACCATGCTGACATCAAGTCGGACAGATTTAGCGGGCTTGCCGTTGGCTGACCAATGGTCTGTGATCCTGTCACATAGTATCCCAGGGTTGTCTTCAAAACAAGTTGTACTGCTAGAGGGAGTTCCCAGGTGGTGCGGGCTTCTCCGACTATACAACGGCTTGGCGTATTTCGAGCCAACAACACTGGCGACCATCCAAGACCGAGAAACAGACAGATCTGCCGTCCAACTGTTGTGAGCACAGGAACACCGAGAAGACAGCATGATCCATGGTCGAATGCAAGAACCCATAAATGGGGTTGCACGGGGGAAAACACATGCGAAGCATGGGGTGACTTTTAGCCCGAGGTCTCCGGCGGCCCCTGTGGATTCTTGGCATCGCAAAAGGGAGTCCAGCTCATCCATCACTCCGGTTATGTCCAACAGTGTCCTACCACATCCACCACCACTACATTATTGTATTCGCCTGACTCGCCGGTCATTGAGTAGTATATAGCCACAACTCACAGACCGCTACTTGTGACATCTCCCATCGAGTGACTTAACCTATAATTCGAATCGAGACCAGAGGAGCGAGGAAGAAACGACGGGCAAAACAAAAAAAATGTCTCCTCAACAACCCCAATCATCAACCCCCTCCTCGTCTGCCTCATCCTCTTCTTCCGCTGGTAAAACCAACAACAACAACAACAACAACAACAACGGAATCTCCTTCACCATCACCCACATGAACGCCAACCACCAAGACTCCCTCGCCTACTACCTCCGCGTGTACAACGGCGTCTCCGCCGCCGAGGCCTCGACCGCGACCCTCGAAACCATCACGCTCTCCGATCTCGTCCTCCGCACCAACCACCACCACAACCACAACACCGGCACCCGCTACACCGTGGCGCTGGACCCGCCGCTGCAGTCCTTTAGCGAGACCCGCGCCCGCCTCGTCGCCATGCACAAGGAATGTCTGGAGCGGCTCGACCTCTCCGACATCAAGATCACCGCCTACCGTGTGCCGTCCCGGCCCGGCGACATCCTCGCCTTCCTGATCTGTCTCTCGGGCATCCTGGCGTTCAGCCGGCGGGAGAACCTGCTGCCGGGCGGGTGGGTGTGCGAGGGCTTGCGGCTGGAGACCGGGTGGTGGTGGCCCCAGGGGTTCGCGGGGTTCTGCGCCAGGATGCAGCCGGCGGTGTTGGCGTTCACGCTGGTCGTGCATGCGTTCGAGGCATCCGTGCTGGCGTACACGCGGCTACGGAGGCATGGGGTCGCGCTGGGGTCCCGCGTGTGGTGGGCGTGGGTGCTGTCGACGCTAATCGAGGGGTTTCAGGGGTTCAAGCGGTTTGATCGGTTGGTGCGCGAGGAGGAGGCGAAGAAGAAGTAGTAGTAGTAGTGGTGGTGGTAGGACTGTTTTACGAATATTTTTTAGTTGTGGATGTGGGAAAGATTGAGCGCGGTGGTTGAAAGGTTCATTTGATGAGATCTGGGGTAGATAGGCTATGCTATGCATTGAGGTACTGAGGTACTCTAGTAGTAGTAGTAGCAGTAGTAGTTCACACTATGGTGCTTTGTCCGGCTGTGCTCCTTAACCTCCAGGCTCTTTAATGCTCGGTTCAGTGCCATCCTGGAGCTCTACTGGGAAGCCCGTTTCAGGCTTAGCGCCAAACTACCGAGATAGGGCAAGTGGCTATTGTCCTTGGCGGCCGATTAGATAAGAGGGGCGGACAGACAGTGCGTCCGAAAACCGCCTGGCGAGAGGCGGGATGACTCAGCACATCACCTGACAGAACTAGCCCCATGCAGACTAGCCCGGGGTAGGGCAAGTGTCCCCCCCCAACAAGCGAGCCACAGTGCGAAATTCACGAGACAGTCGACGACCAGCATCAACAACTCCTACGACCAACCCCATCGACCCTTGCCCGCTGCGTTCCTGGTGAAGGGCTGCAGGATTAGAGGTGAGTTTATTGCAACAGTCTCCGTGATCATTTGCGATCCCTTTCGTCAAGCTCTGGATTTTTTTTTCTGTCTCTCCGGTCTCGTTCGACAAGTCGGTTGGTGCGCGTGCAAGTCTCGGTCTCGAATCTCGAATTGAAGCCGTTATAAGAAGAACGGGCGCAAGAATACGACGACAGGATAGTTGGGGTGAAATATCGACACGATTTGCAAGGAAGCCGGTACAAGAAGAGTTTTTTATCATTCGATAAGTCTCCTTGTGATCGGTTGCTCCGTCTATCTACGTTCGGTTGGATCGCACAATTGCAACATCAGTCTTTTTTTATCTTCTTTCCTGCTTTCGACTCAACAACTCTGTGACGACACAATCGACGATCGATTGATTACTTGCTTGCTCGCTCTAATCCACCCAACCGACGGCATCAAATACGAGACTTTTGAGGAAAGAAGGAAGAATCTCTTGTGGCCCACACAGAAGGGGATCGCATCAGGCTCCGTACGAAACAAGGTCACTAATTCTCTCTCTTGGTTCAGTCCCCACGAACAGCAAATATGGGTATCTCTCGTGATTCGCGCCACAAGCGCTCGGCCACCGGTGCCAAGCGGGCCACTTACCGCAAGAAGAGGTATGCAACACCTGTCGCCAGTACACGCACTGCTCCCAGTTGCGAAGCAATCGAACGTGCACTGACATTGGTCGAATTCAAGAGCCTTCGAGAAGGGTCGCCAGGCCGCCAACACCCGTATCGGTGCTAAGAGAATCCACCTGGTCCGCACCCGTGGTGGTAACCAGAAGTTCCGTGCCCTCCGTCTCGACTCCGGCAACTTCTCCTGGGGTTCCGAGGGTGTCTCCCGCAAGACCCGTGTCATCGTTGTGGCCTACCACCCCTCCAACAACGAGCTGGTCCGCACCAACACCCTGACCAAGTCCGCCGTTGTCCAGATCGATGCCGCCCCCTTCCGTCAATGGTACGAGGCCCACTACGGTCAGCCCCTTGGCCGCAGACGCCAGCAGAAGACCGAGGTCACCGAGGAGAAGAAGAGCAACAGCGTCCAGAAGAAGCAGGCTGCTCGCTTCGCCGACCACGGCAAGGTCGAGGGCGCCGTTGAGAAGCAGTTCGAGTCCGGTCGCCTCTACGCCGTTGTCTCCTCCCGCCCCGGCCAGAGCGGCCGTGTGGACGGCTACATCCTGGAGGGTGAGGAGTTGGCTTTCTACCAGCGTGCTATCCGCAAGTAAGCGTCGTGTTTACTTCATATAAAATTTTTCCAATTTCATAAAATTTTACAAAAAATGGATATCTCGCGCGCTGTGCTGGTGTGGTTGTGGTCTCTGGGAGGGAATGAATTATTATTCTTCGGAGTTAGCAAAGTAATGAACTGGTAGCTCTGAGCAATGGATGAATTATGCAAAGTTCAGATTTGATGATACTGGGTTTTTTCAGTAGGAGTAGGTCGTAGACAGACAGACAGACAGTACTGGTATTGGTATGAATAGAGTGAATGTATGAGTAGTGAAGTTGTATGTTACCTTGTTGGACTTGTTGGACTTGGTCTTGGTGTTAGTGAATGAATGCCTGTGGGTTGATCGTCTGATGACGAAAGAGAGACTTCACCCGCGCGGACCTTCCTCTCTCTCCCCTCATCTTATACTTCGTTCGTCGCTGTTATACCCCATTGACCACCCCATCGATGATATAATTTCTCTCTCCCCTCTGTTCCCGGTGTTTTATTCCGCTCTCTTCCCCAGCCAGTCCCCAGAACAACAATCTTGGTTCAGCCCACTTTCCTTCCATCAGTCACCTAACTAATCACACCATCTCTCCAAGATCCCACTACATCCTCCTACATACAACCCCAATCCCACCACCAAACACCAACCTCTAATCAACTTACCTGTTACCTCCCACCGACACCACCCATAAGACACCCAAAGCGAAACCCCATCCCAAAGCAACACACCCCAAAATGAACCGCAAACAACCCACCCAAAAGACCACCCTCCTCCTCTTAAGCGACACCCACACCCTCACCCCGCAACCCCCAACATCCTCACCCTCCCCATCATCCTCCCCCTCCTCCCGAGACCAAGACTCCTCCCCGCCACCCCCGGCCTTCCTCGACCCCCTACCGGCCGCCGACATCCTCATCCATGCCGGCGACCTGACCAAAGTCTCGCGGCGCCACGAACACCTCACCACCCTGTCGTACCTGAAATCCCACCCGGCGCGCCTGAAGCTCATTATCCCGGGCAACCACGACATCACCTTCGACGCGCCCTACTACGAATCGCTGGGCCACCACCGCCACCGCAACCGGACGGACCACACGGCGCCGTCGGCGACGGCGTCCGCGGCGAACATCAGCTCGGGGAAGGCGGAGCCGGGCCAGCTGGAGGATCCCGAGGCGATTCGCCGGCTGTACACCGGTCCGGAGGCGTGGGATGCGGGGATCCGGCTGTTGGGGGAGGGGGTGCATGAGTTCGAGTTACCGGGGGAAGCACCACAAAAGAGACGGCTGAGGGTGTATGCGTCGAGTTGGACGCCCGAGTTCTGTCAGTGGGCGTTCGGGTATGAGCGCGGCGTGGATCGGTTCAATCCGCCTGCTGCTGCTGCTGCTTCTTCGTCTGGGACTGTCGAGGGGAAGACGAAGAAGAAGGAGGAGGAGGAGGAGGAGGAGGAAGGTCAGGGGAATAATAGGGCGAAAGAAGAGAATCCGGCCATTGGAACGCGGACGGAGGCGCATCACCATCACCACCACCACCACCACCATACAAACGGCCATGCTCACCACCACCACCACCACCACAACGAACCCCCAAACTCCCAACCCAACGAAACCACCGCCGAAACGCGCGAACGCACCCGCACGCACGGCAGCACCGGCTCGCGCGGCGAGGGCGCGCGTGGCGCCATCGCCGCCAACTCCGGCCGCGGCGGGTTCGTCGCCCCCGCGCCGATCCCCGATTCTCCCGAGGGCATCGACATCGTGATCACCCACGGCCCGCCCTACGGGATCCTGGACCAGGTCGTGCCCAACCATGTCAGCGTCGGGTGCGAGCACCTGTACCGCGCGGTGAAGCGGGCCCGCCCCCGGCTGCACGTCTTCGGCCACATCCACGAGGGGTACGGGGCCATGCGCCGCGAGTGGAGCACGGGCAACGACTCGATCATCCAGTGCGACCAGCCGCGCACGCGCGAGGAGCACTGCGCCCGCGTCGACGTCAGCAAGACCAGCATGATGCCCTTGAACCCGGGCCAGGAGACCCTGTTCGTCAACGCCAGCGTCGTCAACGTGCAGTATCATCCCATCAATGCGCCGTGGCTGGTGGAGATGGAGTTGCCGGTTGTCGAAGGGGAATGAGGGTAATCCAACCCCAAGCTCAAGATGAAAGGGGTGGAGATTACTTCAATTGGAGGGGAGAAACAGAAAGAGAGAGGGAGAGAAATGACCTTAATGTCTGTTGGCTGTCTTTGCTATTTGCTTTGCTGTTTGTTTGTGGCCTGCTTCTGTTTCTATTGTTATATATCCACTTTGCTTCCCCATTCGATATTATCAAGAGAATGTACAACTGTGTACTGGTAATGGACTTCGGCAACATTCTTGTATACAACACCGAACTACCTAATAATACACCTATCGGGACTCACTCCGTTTCACCTTCTCCAGGGTATAGTTTTGAATGCAAGGTCCGGACAGATAGTCGAAATATCTTACAAAAGAATATTCTAATCACAAATGAGATCCAATAGAAGGGAAGGAAGAAGGAGGGAAAGAGAAATAAGGTATCTCGGTAATAAAAAAGATGTATCGTGCCTGGATCGGTGGACGAAAGGGTTGAGAATGAGAAGTGAAGTGAAGTCAAGTAAGATCAAAGCATCGCTGCAATGCAAGACAAGGTCGAATTCAACGCTGGTCGAATCGGTCAAAAAAACGCACAATTAAAAAGGTTAATGTCCAGACATTAAGAAGAAAAGAAGGCCAGGGAGAGAATTCGGAAAAAAAAATAAAGTCACTCCTCCCGCAGAGGAGTTTCCGTTTTGAAGTCATGACGGCTGCTCTTTCGAGTGACGCCCTTGAGCAGACTGAATCGCTTCATCATCGAATCGCGCTTTCCATGGCCATGACCATGGCCATTGCTGTGCCCGTTGCTATGTCCTGTCGGGCTAGTGATCTCCGGGCTGCGCACAGACGCCATGCTGCTCCGCGTCACGGGCCGTGGGTAGTCACTGATTGAAGGAATAGTCGACCATCCCCCAGTCTTCGGACCGCTCACCGAGGGACGCCCTTCAACAGTTCCGTTGGTACGAGAAGTCGTGCGGCTGACAGAGTCTTGTGAGATGGCAACAGTGTCCCGAGAAGCACTTCTTGACCGTTGTTCCTTCTGGCTCTGGGTCTCTTCGGGAGCATTGCTGCTGATGGACAAGGATGAGCCGTGCTTGTGCAGTACTTCGCCAAAGAGGCTCCGTCGCTTGGTCTGAGTATCGCGCGATTGGGTCGTAGTGCGACTGTGAATCGTGGCCGCATCATCATGCTCTACGGATTCTCCCTGACCTTGCTCCGCTGCCTGGGTTCCGTTGACGCCTGGCTGCTTCTTCGGCTCCTCCTGCACGGTAGTCACCGAATTGCTTGCCGCATGGTTGGACCGCTTGAAAGGGTTCATGACACTAATCCGATGGCTAACTGATTGCTTCGCCGAGTGCTTACGACCATGCGTTTTGCGCGAGTTGCGAATCAACTCCTGCTCCGGACTCAAGGCTCGCGAGCTAGACGCCTTCTGACGCCCTTCCACCGATTTGGGAGACTTGCGTGGGGACCTTGGAGGAGTTTCGGACTCGACTGGACGGAGTGAGGCGATTTCCGGCGTAAATGCCTCCTCGAACCGACGCATCAATTCCGCTTGTGTGGCTTGGTGGGCCGGGCGGTGATAAAGCGCCAGAGCATGCTTGATCGCCAACGCATGGTCGATGAGAGCTACTGCCAGTGCGTTCTTCATCGGATCCGCGGGCTTGGGCGTCACTAGTCCACCCTCGTCCTCGTCTGGCACATCCGACAAGAATTGCCGGTAAGACGCAACGCAGTTTGGAGTGGATGCATTGAGATCTAGTAATTGCTGCACTGCCTCCGTAAGATTGTTCAGGCTAGTGTCCTCACCAGATGCAGCCCGCCGCTGTAGCAACGTCAGCTCCTGAGTCTTACGCCAAGTCCGTTCCAGGGCGCTCTGCAGCGGCGACAGCGAGACTTCCTTCACCTCCACCACTTCGCTACGACGCAAAATGTTGGGGAAGGGTTCTGCGGTGGTGTAAATGATCTTCTCCACCCACTGTTGCGTGACATCCGTGTCGCGCACATGTCTCCTGAGCGTTGTTGTGAACTGGGAAGGCTCAGAAACCAGCAAATGATCTCTGACTGACTGCGGAACCTTGGACCGCTGGTAGACTGGGTGATCCACATCCCGGTAGATGCTGACAGAGCTGATTTGCAGGAATTGACCCTCGTAGTCTTGAATCTCACCTGACGACATAATCTGCGCTGCCGGATGCTCCTTCTGCATACGGTCCACAAAGGAAGCCATTCGTTCGTTCGGAGCACCTTCAATGATGAATTCCTTGTCACGCAGAGTAGGTGGGAAGCCAAGTCCTTTGTACAACACACGGAAATATCGCGGGATCTGCTTGTCTTGCTTCGCGATGTGGTCGCATATTTTGGCCATGGAACTCTGGGCCCTCGAAAGCTTGGCAAAATCCATAGTCGTGTCTTCGTACTGCTGCGTGAGCTCCTTATAACACACCAGCGCGTGCGACCAAGCTTTGGCGTCCTCGAAGTACTGAATAATCGAGAAATACAGCGACTCCTTTCTTTCGAATGACGTTTGCTCAGGGAAAGCAGGATTGAGCAGCTCCGGCAGTGTCCGTCTCAGATCCCAGTCATATAAGTCAGCATGGAATTGAAGCGCCAGGCCAGCTTCAGTGAGGTTGCCTGCGGCGGCTTGAACTTGAGCCAGTTCGTGCACGTAACGTATGAAGATATCCTCTCGGCCCATGTCTTTCATATACTTCATTAATCGAAGAGTATGCAGACTCTCAGCCATAGATCCACCTTGTGACGCCACAAAGAGATCCAGAAGCTCATCCACCGTAGCAATCAAAGCCCCGACTGCTTCGGAAAGATCCTCATCGAACACAGAGTAGCCCTCAAAATGATCCATCAATTCTTGGATGAACAACTTTTGCACCACGCTTCCGCTCATATTCTTCCGCTTGAATAGGTTATCGAGGCTGGAAATAATTTCCGTCTCGATGATAGACAAATCCTGGTTAAGTCCCCACTCGCTCAGAATCATCGTCCGCAAGATCTCGACAGCAACATGTCGCAATCCTTCATGGACACTGAGACAAAGTTCGATAATTGGTGCCACCAGTCCGGGAACATATTGCACTTGGTAGCCCCCGAGCTTACTCAATCCGTAGCGCTCACTCTCCTCGTCGGTAGTCTCCCATCCAATGGCTTCCCAGCTGGAATGTAGTAGATCCGCGCCTTGTTCTCGAACATCGCCGGCAATTTTCCAGATGGCACGTCGCTTCTGCTCTGGATAAGTCTCAAGGGCAAGCGCCTCGCTCGAAACCACCTTGAGCAAAGTCATGAAGAAACTCTCCCAGAGTCTTGTGTCGAAAGTCTCAGCCTCTTCCGGGGCTGGAAGAAACTTCTTGATAAGGATTCCTGCAAGAAATTCGAGACTCTTGACTGTCGCGCGGTGATTGTAAACATGCACACTTAGCCAGCTTTCAGGGTAGGCTTCACAGTTCAGTATCGAGGTATGAACCTCAAACGCCTGGGAGAGGAAAGCAGACAGCTCCAAGCCCCTCAAGCGGGGCCGTTTGGGGTTGGGCACCGCTGCCGTAGCGGCCATGATCGCAGAAAGTTCAACCAAAGCCTCATCAAACCGCTGCGAGTGTTTCGAGGACTTGACTTGGAACGGGAACGTTTTGCTGAAGAGTAAGGAGAGGTAGCTGGTTTCTTCCACCCCATCGGGTATAATAGAATAGTAGGATGAAACGATATTTGGCATGAGCTCATAAATAAGAGAATCGGGCTGCTTTAACAGCTCCGCGACCACCGCGCAGCACAAGCGTACTTGGTCGCGATACAGGTCAGATACAGCCCCTGTCGCACCCCAGTACGGAGCCAACCAGCTGATGCAGCTGGAGATCAGGCTCCGTCTCTCCGAGCCGGAGCTGAATATCTCGAGGCGGGTGTAATGCTGAATGAGAACCAGCTTGTACAGGATCAGCATACCTTTGACGTCTTTACAGGCATCCATGAAACTGAGCGCAATCATGATCGTCTCATCTCGCCCGAGAACTTTTGACAGTTCAGGCAACCAGGTGTGAAAATGCTGGACCACGAGCGTTTTGCTGCCCACCGTCGCAGGCGACGTGTCTTTCATAAGAGCTTCAAGTGATTTGAAGATGGTATGCAAGTCGCGATTGAAGGTTGACTGCACTCGGGTAATTCCAATGCCTTCTTCCTTGGCCTTCTGCTGTTGTCGGGCATTGATGATAAACTTCAGAACATGTCGGCCCACCTTGAACGTGGCGCGCAAATTGCGCGACTGTTGCGGGTCAGAGTTGGCCAGAAGAAGGCGGGTATAGCTTCTAACCAGACACGGCGTGGCAAAAGGGAAGTTGAATTGGTTTTCAGCATAGTGGTCAACGAGCGGACCAAGGTTGAACCGTCGGTCGTGCACGATACCCAAAACCGTCACCAAGTTGTTGAAAATCAAGTCCTCGTACTCTTCATTTCCAGAATTCTCAACCAATATCCCGAATAAAGAATCCAAGACACTGCTGAGTTGCTTCACGATTTCGATCTCTGGTACGAATAGTACCCGCTTCAGGGTGTCCAAAACTTCATTGACGGGTCGCTCTTTCCAGTTTAGAAGGCTGAGTATCACTTGGTCCTGAGAGTATTCGGTGCTGCACAAGTGCGTGTCCAGGCGCAGTGTAGCCAAGGGTCCTGTGATAGCTTCGTCCTTTGCTGACTCATTCTTACCGAGTGAGCTCCACGGGAGAGACAAATAAGCGCCCTTCCCATTTTCGATACTCGAGGTACACTTGTCGTAGGCATGCAGCAGAAGTGAATGAGGGCCATCTCGCATGAAAGCCTTGTTGTCCCACAAAGGCATCCAGGCCAGAGCAAAGGGGAATTCCGGGGCATCTGCGATACTCATTATCAGATGCGATCCTGGGATCTGGTCCGTCGGGATGTTGAGCCGAATTGTCTGATTCCACGGTGCGCCTCGTTCAGCTACCGTGGTCCGCCATGCGGTCTGTGAAGGCTGATTAGATGCAGGAAAAACGCAG